TCCCCCCCAGCCAGACCGCCGCTCCACGGGGCCGAAGGGCGCGACCTGAGCCGCGACTTGCCCCGCACATCTGCAACCCTGGGCGAGCCTGGGGGAAAATGAAGAGAAGATCTTATCGGGAGGCAGCGGGACTTCTCAGAGAACCCCTCGCGCCTCCTGGAAGGTCTTCTCTTGTGTCCAGGAGGGGTTAGAACACCTCTCCGAAGGCCGGGGAACTCCCGAGCCTTCTGCGAAGGCCGGCCCCTCTTCGCTTCCCCCCACCCCGGGCCCGCCGCCGACAGGAACGGCGCCCCGCCCCCGAAGCGCCCAGCGGCGCGCCTGGGCGCCCGGCGGCTGCAGGCTGGCGGCCGAGCCGGGCGGTCGAAGGCCCCGCCGCGGCGGGGCCGCGCGGCCCTGCCGCCGCCGATGGCCCTCTCTCGCGGCGCCGGGCTCTCCTCGGGGGGACTCGCAGTTCCAGGGCTCCCAACCCTTTGGGAACGGACTCACGTTGAGAAGCCCAAGACATCAGAACCAGGGGGCTCCCGGCAGATCTGTTCGACCGAGCCGCCCACACTGTTGACGATCCCTGCTGCAGAGACAGGGACCTGGGTTGGGCTGCGTCTTCCCTGCGTCACTCGGGTTAGGGGTTATCTCATCCTCGATGGCGGATGGGGGGCCGAGATGCGGCAGCGGGTGTCGGTCGCGGTGGCGGACCGTGGCCGCTTGAGCGACGAGAGCCGCAGACGACCACAGGGGCGAATGGTCCCGGGGGGGGGCGCAACACCCGTACCCAGGGGCGCCGATGGTCAAAGTCTTGGGCGTGGCTCCTGGAGGGATGCGGCAGGGCTGGACCTCAACGTGGTGGTTTCGTTATGTTGTCGTTTTGTCGTTCGTTTTGCTCGACCTGTTCTCTTGTACCTCCCTGCAAAAACGTCAAAAACGAAAACACAGCCGAAGTCCAGCAAAACAGCGCTTAGGCCCAGCCCTGGGATACGGGTGTTGCCCGCCCCTGTGCTATGCGACCCCATCGTCGCCTCAGAAGGCACAGCGAACTTATGCCGCGGCTTGCGCGCGGGCCACCAGCGTGGCACACCGCGCGGAGAAGAGGGCACGCACGCGCGGCCTCACGCGGGAAGCTTGCGTGCCACTGCCCGCGCAGTCGGCCCCGTTGTCTTCTTACGTCGGCCACCTGCAAGTCACGCGCGCGTGTTATGAGCCTGGTCGCGCATGTGCCTCCTGTCCAAGCCGCAGTCGTGGGAAGCTAATCCAAAGAGGCCGCGATCTGGCCACTACCTCTCTCCAGGACTGGATACCGAGGGGCTGCGGGGGGACGTCCCCCCCCTGAGCCTACTGTCCCCTCCCCTAACGCTGCCCCCTGCAGTCGGGCCGCTGGAAGAAGGAACGCTAAACAAGGAACGAAGCCCCCTTTTTGGCCCCAGAAGCGCCTCCGTGCCCGAGGAGGGCCAGAGGGCCAGCAATGGAGGAACCTGGGGAACATCGAGCCCCTTCCGAACCCAAACTCCAAACTGTTCCTTCTTTCAGCGTCTCGACCGTAGCTTTCGGGCAGTAGTTTACCAGCCTGGAACATATCCCTATCCCTATGCTGTGCACCTCCTCATCACGATGCCAATCTTAAGGATTCCCTTATTTTTTGAGGGTGCATTCCTAAGATAGTCATCGCCTTTTGGCGTGTCAATCTTAGGGATAGGGATACGTTCGAGGCTGGTAAGTAGTCCGGTTTCCCTGGAGATCGCTCGGGGCGGGCAAGGCAGGCAGGGCAGGCAGGGCAGGCAGGGCAGGCTGGGCAGGCTGGCAGGGCAGGCTGCCCAGGGCAGGCTGCCCAGGGCAGGCGGCCCCCGGGAGCCTCCTCGGGAGGCATCCCCAGAGACCCCTCGACCCCGGCGCGGCGGCGGGAGGGGCTGCAGGCCACCAGACAGCCCCCTACCTGGCAGGCGCCAGGCAAGCCTCGTCGAAAGGGAGGAGGAGGGGGGGGGGCACGCGAAGGGGTGGCGAGGCAGAGAGGGAGAAGGTGGGGGGGGGGCGAGGGAGATACGGGGAAGGAGGGGGAGGGGAGGGGAAAGGGCGAGGGGCGGGGGGAAGGACGGATGCGGGGGGCCGCGCGTCCGACGGCTCGAAATCGGGAGCGCCAGCTCTTTCACCCGGGAACCACGCGGGGGGGCCGGGCGCCACGAGATGCCGGCGGCGGCATCTCATTGGCACGAGGGAGACCAAAACTCATAACGTCGCGTTGCTATCCAAATGCAAGACGTCCCTGTGGGATGAAAACCTGTCAGTCGGGAGTGGAGAGGTCCAGGACGGCAAAACCGAGGCAAGAAGCGCGGGGGGGTGGTCAGAGGCGGGAGGGGGTGGAGAAGAGGGCAACAGGGAGGGGGGAAAACAACGAGGACAGGAAGGATACCGAGGTGAACAAAGATACTGATGCGATGGCAAGAGCACGGCACGGACAGAAGAGACATGCAAGACTGGCAACGAGGGATCAAGCAACGGCATAACGACGGATAATGCGGGATGACGATCAATAACAAATGTGAGAGAACGATTAAAAACATAGTTTTCTGCTATGTCTGCACAACTTTCTGACTGGAGGGAAACGATTTAAAACATAGTTTTCCAGCCCGCGGCCGGTTTTCTCTAATCGTCATCCCGGGCGCCGCCGCGTGAACACGACCCCCGGTCATTTATTAATCGTCATCCTCCATTACCCTTGGTTCCTCAGGCGCAACGCAACATGCCTTGCTCAGTGCCGGCACGGAGCGACGCAGAAAGAGAGGAGGCACGAGGGAGCGGGAGGAGGAAGCGGGAGGCAGGCGCGGAGGAGGGGAGAGTCCTGGGAGAGAAGGAGGGATGCGCGGCAAGGAGGCTGAGAAGCAAACATACAGAGGTACCCAAACCTGATGAACAAAAGCCATGGGATTCCCCTCCTCCTCCCCAACCCCCCGTCCTACAAACTCCATTGTCGTGGTTGTCTCACAGCGTGGGCCCGACAGAGGTGTGGACTTCTTCCCCAGGACCGTCAGTCCTCCCGAGCTGTTTTGCGACGGTCCAGAGGGCCTGGTGAGGATCCCTATAGAAGAGAAATCTTGTGAAAGCATCTCCCGCGACTATTTCCAATCATCCGGTGGTGTTGGGCCCTCGTCTCGTCCGCAATGCTCTGCATCTCTTTCCCTTCCGCTGCCCCTCCTCCCCCGCCTCCCTCCTCCAATCCCTGCCTCTGCTCTCCGCGTGTTCATAACGGGACACCCCTCACACGCTTCGTGGCCCCGTACGGAACTCCACCTGCGGCCAAAGCGGGTACGATCACATGCGGTCCCCCCGCCCATTTCGGCACATCCCTCACGCGTCGTGGTCCTATAGCGAGCGCTCCCTCCTTCGCCCCGCCTGCCTTGCGAAATTCAGGCCTGCATGCCGTTGGGCCCTTCGCCGCGATGTGTTTTCACTTCGCGGGGGGGGGGGAACCTCCCTCCTCCCTCGGGGGCTGCAGCCGGGGCGCACAGCCCCAGGGCGTGGGCACCACGTCTTCCCACGAGAGCTCCGATCGCCCATGTGCTCGGCGAGGCTCCCGGGCGCATGCGTGGAATGCCCGACTCCCTGGGCTGTCCGCCTCTGTCGCCGCCTCCGTCTCCCTCCCCCCGCTGGTTCGCTCCGCAGCGGCTCGGAGCGCGCCCGCCCGCGGGAAGCCACCGTGCACCAGAAACGGGGAAGAGGCGCGGGACGGCACGCGGCCGCAGGCACCCCGCGCCTGGAGGGCCCGACCCCGCCTCACTCGAAGGGAAGAAGCCCCCTTTTGCTCCCCCCCCCTCCCCACAACTGCCACCAGCTGCCCCTCCCCCCCCCCCCTCAGGACAGAGGGCTCGCCGCGGCTGGCCGTCGCTCGGACGTCCATTTCCTGTGTTTTTCTTGGTTTCGTGCGTGGCTTCTTCGCCAAATGATCGAGGATGCTCCTCGATGGTCCTCGCCGAAGGAGAAATGCACACGTCCGAGCGATGCCAAGGCGGGGGAACCGGCCAACCCCCGCAGCCAGCACCGCAGGCGCTGCCCCCTCCGCCCGCCGCGGACGCCGGCTCGCTCGACCCCGGGGGCGGGCGCACGGGGAGCACAGCAAAAGCGGGGGGGGGGTCATCGCAGCGGCTGCGCCCCGAGGCAGGCGCCCATGTCGCGGCGGGCCCGAGAGCAACGGCACTCGCAGCAGCTCATCCCCCCCCCCCGGTCCGACAGCCCCCCCCCCCCTGGCAGGGTGCGGCACCTCCCCGCACCCCTCTGACTACCTACCAGACCACCCCAACTTAACCCGAAGACCCGAATTTCGGGTTTGGGGGGGGGACGGGCTCCATGTGTGTTTTCTCAATGTTCCCCGACCCCCCCCCACTGGAAGTGCAGGGCAAATTGAGGCCTTCGGGATGGGTTGGGGTGGTTGGTGGGTGGTAACCCTCTGAGAGCGCCCCGCGGCGCGGGCGCGGCAGGTGCGGAGCGGAGGCCTCTTTGTAGGGCGGCGGGCGAAGAGCGCGCTGGACGCTGGACGCTTCTCGGCTGCCCGCTCCACCGGCGCTCGCCTCGGGCGCTCGGGCCTGGACGGGCAGGGGGGGCACTCCACGACGAGGCAGGGGCGGCGAGGGGAAGCACGTGCGCGGCTCAGGAAACTCTGGGTAAAAAAAACGCGGACGTCTCACGTTCACTTCCGCCGCATTCCGTTAACCATCCGCTGGCGGAGCCGCCGCCTTTTTGCGTCCGCAGCCTTCGGCCTGCTCCCACCGAAGGCAGGGTTGGACGAAAGCGAAGCCGTTCTTCTGGAGCGCGCCACGTGCGCCCAACGCATTGGCTGAATGACTGGTGCCCCCCAGCCCGTCTCTGTTGCGCCCCCCCTAATGTCGCCGTGGAACCGCGAGCCGCCTCGGAAGCCCAGCCTCAGCCCACGCGGTGAGGGAGCGTCGGCGTCGGGCTCGTGGACAGAATCGTACAACATTGTGACTTCCATCAATTGCGCTGGGGCATTCCACATGACACTAGCGGCGCTGCATGGCGAACGACAGCAGGCCCCACAGCCCAGATGGCGGCTGCCACACTGAAGACGCGTTCGCGTGCCTCCAGGCGAACCGCCTGTCGTCCGCGCCGCTCTCCGCCGTGAGGGCAGGCCCGGTGCCCCGGCGTCTCGTCACGGGCGCGCTCAGATTGAATCTCGGCACGCTGCCTTCGCGGTACAGCATGGAGATCCGCACCAGCCCGAGCCGCCCCCACAGCACCACCAGGGAACGCTCGAGAGCGGAGGGGGGCAACATGTCCTCCTTCGGCGCAGAGGCCGGCAGGATGTCATCCTTCGGCGCTGGCGCCTTCACCTTGGGCTTCTTGATGAGCCTGGGCGGGCTCGCGTGCAGCCTTCTGCCATGGAATGGCTTCCGGTACCCTGTAGGCACGCTCTTCGGCGGCCTCTGCGGCATGGGCCGCGCCTGGGGCCATCCTGCTGCGCCCTTCCAGGGCGGAAGCCTGGGCGGCTTGGCTGGCGGCGGCTTCGGCTTGGGCGGTGGCTGCTGCTGCTTGGGCGGCGGTGGCTTGGCCGGCAACGGCGGCTGCAGCTGCTTGGGCGGCGGTGGCTTGGCCGGCAACGGCGGCTGCTGCTTGGGCGGCGGTGGTTCGGGCTCTGCAGGCTCCCGCAGAGGGTCTCCGCGGGGCGGTGCCGCCACATGCGCTGCATCCCGCACGGCCCCCTCGTCTCCGTGGGGCGGGTCCTCCTCCTCCTCCTCCTCCTCCTCCTCCTCGTCCTTCCCGCCGTCGGCCGAGTCCGGCGGAGGCTTGCCGTCGGCAGCGTCCGGCGGCCCCGCGTGTGAGTCGGCGGGCTCGTGGACATCCTCCGCGCTGGCCCTGACGCCACCCCAATCGCCGTGGTCTCCTGTCCCGAAGTCGAAGCCGAAGACCGACACCTGATCGCACAGCTCCATGGCGAGGGCGACGGCCGCAAACTGCAGGGAGAGGTCTAGTACCTTAGGGCAGCTGGCGGGGCACGCCTGCATCGCCGGCGACAGCCCGATCAGCGTCGCGCAGCGGAGGTCACAGAACGGCGAGCGTTCCCGCAGGCTCTCCGCCACGCCCACATTCACGGTGTCTTCGTAGCGGTCTACCCAGGCGGTGATCTGCTCGTCCCACAGCCGAAGGATCCTGGGGCTCAGCATGAGGAACTGCCTGGAGCCGTTGGTGCACAGCGGGAACTTCTGCGCGTCCATGAGCCTCCGCCCGCCCTGCAGCAGGTGCCTCCAGCTCTTCAGCAGGAGCACCAGGCTCTGGTCCCCCTTCCCGACGTCGAGCAGGCTCGAGGCCACGCAGTACGTCACCTTGCTGCCCGCCTGCCTCGCGCGCTTCTCCAGGGCCACGGGGCTGCACGTGCCGGCGCGGAAGACGGCCTCGTGCCCGTCGATCTCCGACCCGGCGTCTCCCAGCTGGGAGGAGGCGCCGACCACGGCGCACCGCGCGTGCTCCTTCGGCCGGGGGAGCACCTGCCGCAGCAGGCAAGGAGCCAGCATGCCGGCGAACGGGTGCGAGGCCACGTCCGGGAGCCGCATGAACATCGACGGCGCGTCCCCGCCCGAGAGGGCCTCCCCTGGGGGCGACGACCCCGTGCGCGTGGACTCCGCGAGCTCGCTGTCCCGCTCGGGCGACAGCGCTCCTATGCTGACCAGCTTGGAGCTGGGGCTGCTGTGCTTGAAGAGACCCGGCACGCAGCTCGCCACCAGATCCGTCCTGGCCTCCTCCAGACGCATCGCGCTGTCCTGCAGCCCCTGCAGCACGGACACGGAGGCGACCGCCCACGCCAGCAGAACCGCCACGAGCGAGCACCGCACCAGCCCGCAGAGGTCGCGACCGTCCAGCTCGTCGCAGCCCCTCCTGCGGACCGCGGCCCCTCCGCCCCCGCTGGGCCACGCGACCTGGGGGGGACCAAAAAGTACGGATGCCGCTGCAGTCGGGAACTATTGCCTGGCGTGTCGCGGCGGCGGTCGCAATGACACGCTATGCCATGCGAGCGGATAGCGTGTCGCTCCGCTCTGCGGGGCGTGGGGCTGGAAAAGGCTTGGGAACATGACGCCTCGGGGCCAGGCCATGGATATCGTGTCGCGCCGAAGCGCGTTGGGATGGAACCGGCGGCATGACACGCTAAGATAAATGCTGGGGTACGTTCTGACCAGAATCCCGAAGCGAACCCAGACGCGGCGACGAGGGCTCCCTAGGACAAGCGGCGGCATCGGTACCTTGTCTCCCCTTCCTGCGACCGCCCACTCGGCCGCCCTCTGGAGCGGCGAGCTCCTGGTCAGCCTCAGCGCAGACACGTGGTAGCAGGTGACCGCCAGCACCTGACGGGGCCCTGGGACACACAAAGAAGAACTGCACACAAGTAACAGGATAATCCCCCCATGTTCCCAGATGTTCTGGGTGTTTGCCTTCCCGCCACTTCCCACACTGTCCAATCTTCTCTTGGCATCGGCGACGACTTCCCAGACATGCGACGTCCTGATTTTTTCAGGACAGGGTCCCTGGAAGTCCCGACCCGTTCCCTGGGAACGGTTTTTCATCCTGAGGCGTTTTTTGACGGTCCCGAGGCCCGGCGAGGGCCCCCCGGGGCCGAAAATGGCTAAAAACCTCCCGTCCGGATTTTTTCACGACGCGGTCATGTCTGGGATGTGTCTGTGTGTGTTCTTCTTCCCTCCGGAGCACCGCCCTGCCCGCGGCGTAGCCGAGAGGGCGCCACACGGCGCGCGGCTGCGCGCACAGCGCCCTCAGCGCGGGCGGCCCCAGCAGGACCAGCGCGGCGCCGAGCGGGCCCGGCCCCCGCCGCGGGTCGGCGGCGTCGCTGCGGTCCTCCCTCCCTCCCTCCCTCCATCCCTCCATCCCTCCCTCCCTCCCTCCTCCTCCTCCTCCTCCTCCTCCTCCTCCTCCTCCTCCTCCTCCTCCTCCCAGCTGGCGATGGTGGCGTTGCTGCTGCTGGTGCTGCTGTTACGGATTAACAAAAACGAGTCGCGCTCTGCAATGTGCTGCCGGTGTTCTTCACTTAACTCGAGCTGTAGAGAAGCTCTGCGGAGCTGAGCTGCACACCAATCGACAGGAAATGATCAGGAGCGCTAGTCCGGTTGATCGTGATGGGATGATGTTGATGTTGACGCTGATGCCGATGGTGGTGACGATGATCATGATGATGCTGCTGGTTCTGACGATGTCGCTGGTGTCGCCAAGGGTGATGCGAATGCAAAAAAGGATGAACATGAGGATGCTGGTGCTGATGCTGGTGATCATGGTGGTGATGGTGATACTGATGATGAAGAAGATGATGAAAAAACTGACGAGAAGGTTGGTGCTGATGCTGATGCTGATGCTGATGATGCTGCTGATGATGATGGTGACGATACCGTTGGTGCTGATGATGATGATGCCGATGATGATGCTGATGATGATGACGATGATGATGATGATGATGATGCCGATGATGATGCTGATGATGATGCCGATGATGATGCTGATGATGATGACGATGATGATGATGATGATGATGATGATGATGATGATGATGATGATGATGATGATGATGATGATGGTGATGATGATGATGCTGTCAGGGTCCTGGCAGCAGCCCCGCCAGCCCCTGGAGGACACCCAGACGCCGAGCCACGCGGCCACCGCCAGCCCCGAGCGCGCGTCCCACGCGGGGCCCTCGGTGCCCTGCCGCTCAAGATAGGCGTTCGCCACGTCCTGGAACGCGGGCGACTCCTTCAAGAGTAGACAAGCGCGGTCCACGATTCACAAGAAGAAACCACTCGCAGGTGGCCTGGATCCGCCGAGGGGGACTTACAATCCATCGCATCGAACCAAGCATGTGCCACGTTTGCGAGTGGGCACTTTGCGAGTCGTGGAACGCGCTCCATGAAAGAGGAACAACCAAGCGGCACAAGCCTATAGGGTCGGGAACTGTTGTTTGGCCTGTCGCGGCGGCGGCCCCGGCCACACGCCAAACCATGCGAGCGGATAGCGTGCCGCTCCGCTCTGTGGGGTGGGAGGCTGGGAACGGCTCGGGACGTCGACGGCTGTCGGACCAGGACGTGGATAGCGTGCCGCGCCGAAGCGCGTTTCGTTCGCCCAGATCCAGCGGCGCGGCCCTTTTCCCGCCGCAGCGCGGCAGAGGCAACCCGCACGCGCGCTCAGGTAGTCCGGGGCAGGGGCCACGAACTCTCCGGCGGCGCGAGAGGGAGAGGACGGCGGGTGGCGGCCGCCGGGGGCGGAGGGAGGGGAGCCACGCACAGCGCGAGGAGCATCGGCAGGAGTGGCCGGGGCGGCCGGTCGCTGCGGAGGCGTCCTGGCAGTGGGCGTGGAGCGGCATCGCGCGCACGCCCAGGGGCGGAGGCAACGGCTGCAGGCGCTGCAAGCGTAGAGTTAGATCGGGCCTGTCCCCCATACAGGTGGATGTGGGACGAAAAATAAAAATAAGTCCAACGAATGCTCAAAAGATGGCCCCAAATACTCCAACAATCGTCCCCATATTATGTTTTGACTATTTGTGAATATTCCCCCTGTAGAGGGACAGGCCCGACTTAAGCGTAGAACGAGCAGAACCAGAACAGGAGAGGAGCAGCGAGCGGGCCCATTGCGCGGGCAGCGTCTAGGCGTTCGTCAGAGGGGCCCTGCGCGGAGGGCCGTTTCCGTAGAACGGCTGGGCGGGGTGCGGGGGCCAGCAAGACGGGGGCCGGCCAGCGTCGAGCTCGCAGCAACATAGCGCTGCACGGCTGCCGTGCTGAGCTGCTGGGGGCCAGACGGCAGGGCTGCCGGCAGAGGCGCCACTGAGGCGGCCAGCGGGGCTGCTGGGAGCCAGGGCCCGGCGGCGCGGCACGCTAAGCCACAGTTCCTGACAGTAGGTCCGCGCGGGTCTCTGAAGCGGTGTAGGACAGCCCGGCGGCCCCTCTGGCGCCGCCCAGGGGAGTCCAGCGCGGAGCAGAAAAATCCGCGCGGACCTCCGATGTGGCTGGAATCATTTTGAATGTTTTTCGCAGTACCGCCCATGACCGGCCCCGCCCCCCCCCCGCCCCTGGTCGCTTCACGTTTCGCGCCAGCGCCGTGTGGGGACTAGTAATCGCTATGCATTCCCAGACGGAGCCAACGCGAATCGCGACGTGACCGCACCCTCCCCCCCCCGATCGCGCCCGTCCCTGAGCTCCGACGTCTCGGAAAATTACATCAGCACTCCGGGTGTGAGTGGTTTGGACTGTTCAGTCTTCCATATTTCCCTCTTCCTTTTTGACGAGCCTTCCCCCGACCCACTCCCCATGACATGGACAGGTAGGGTCGCGACCGATTGGGGCGTCCAAGATGGCCCAAGAAGGCTCCAACCGGGCTTCACGAGCGGAAGATGACCTCCAAGATGGCTCAAGATAGGTCAAGATGGCTCCCAACGTGCGCCAAAAGGCCCCCAAATCGCCCCAAGACGGCTCCAAGTGGCCACGGAGTCTCCGGAAACGAATTTTCAAGCCGGATCGACCTGTATGGGTCTCAAGGCCCGAAACTGGGCGAAAACATCCAGCTGGAAAGATGAAGTCGCCAGGGCTCCAGGAGCTATCGCCAGGACGTTTAACTATATATATATATATATATATATATATAAATAAATATATGTGTGTGTAGATATACAAGACTGCATTGGCGCTTCGCGCCACGCGCTTTGTTCTGGTCCCTTCCCAGCACAGCCATACAGCATCGCTTGCTTCAGCGGGGGGGACCTCGATCCCTGGTGCCTGCTGACACCGCGTTGGCCCGATGCGCTTGCACGCTTGGGCGCAGGAGCTGGGGGAATGATGTTTTTTTCACGCGCGAAGGTCCTTTGAGGAAGTAAGGAGAGTTTCCATGACACGCCGAAGAAGTCGCAATATCACTGGGCATATCGATTTTTGGTAGCTTCCTGAATGCCTGGAAGGCTCCAGGCAGTCAGGAAATCTTCGATCGTCGAACTTCGAATCTAGATACATTGCCTGTCTCTCTCGATCGAGGAAGTGGAACCTCGCGCCTCAAGCGTGGAACCAAAATCGTCGGGTCCGCTCGATGTACTTCGTAGGAAAACGCCATCTGGGCGATTTGGGAACTCTTTTGGGCCGTCCTGGGTCCCTCTTGGGCCGTCCAGGGGCCTTCTTGGGCCGTCTTAGGGAGCTGGGGCCCTCCAGAAGCCTTCTGGAGCCATCTAGGGCCCTCTTTGGGGCCTCCAGTGGCCTTCTTGGGGGTTTCCCATGGCTTTCGTGGGTCTCTCTTGGAAGCCTTCTGGGGGCATCTTGGGCTTCTTGCGGGCAGTCTCGGGGCTCTCTGGGGCAGTCTTGGGGCCTTTTTGGGCCGTCTTCAAAGCCTTCGGGGGCCCTCTTGGGCGGTCTTGGGGCGATATCGGGGGCTTATCGGGCCGCCTTGGAAGCTGCGAAGTCCCAAACAGCAAAAATGTTAAACTTATACGTTTGCCCAAAAGAATGGGACGATGTTTGCTTCTTCGGGGCTCTCTTAACAGCCTCTTGGGGCGTCTTGGGGATCCTCTTGGGCCGTCTGCAGACCATCGAGGTTCCTCTTGGCGCGCTCTGGTGCTGTCTTGGGTCTCTCTTGCGCCTCTCCGATGACCCCTCTGATCGCCTTGAGTCTGCTCGCAAGGCCCGGCAAGGCGTCCTGGGAGGCCCGGAAGGGCGTCCAGGGGGCTGTGACACGTCCAAAAGGGTGTCCAGGGCGTCCCTGGGGGGGATCCGGTTTAGGGTGTGGGGTGTGGGGGGGTCGGGGTAATAAAAATATAAGAATAAGAGTGTATATATATACATATATATAAAAAAGATGCGTGTGTATCTATATATATATATATATATATATATATATATATAGTGTGCAGATGTGTTATTGCTCTTGCGAAGGCCGTACGGCCAGTGCCGCCGACGCTGAAGGAAGACGACGACGACGACGACAACGGCGGCGGCGGTAACGACGACGACGCTGACGTTAGCCAGTCCTCAGGGATGCTTCTTGGGGTCTCTTCGGCAGTCTCTCGGGGGCCTCTGGGGAGGAATTTTGGTGCCTTTTGGGAGCCTCTTGGGGGCCTCTTGGGCGCCTCGTGGGGGCTTCTTCCGGCTTCCTGGGGACCCCCTGTGGGCCTCTTGGGGCCTCTTGGGAACTTCTTGGGGCCTCCTGGGAGCCTCTTGGGGCCGAGGACTCGAAATGACCCTTCGGGTTCCCCATCTGGGCACGCTCTTGAAGCTGTCTTGGGGGCCTCTTGGGCCGTCTTGGAGGCGTTTTGGGCTGCCTTGGGGTCCTCTTGGGCTGTGTTGGGGCCTCTTGGAAGCCTCCTGGGCCGTCTTGGAGCGATCTTGGGGGCCTCTCGCGCCGTCTTGGAGCGGCGGGGAGTGGAAAAAGCGAGAACGCCCAAACCTTGAAGAAACAAACACGGAACATCCAGGAATTTCGCTTCTTTGGGCCCCCTTGGGGGTGCTCTTGGAGGCGTCTTGGGGCGTCCTCGAGGCCTCCTTGGTAGTCTGGAGGGCGTGAAAGCATTTTGGACTGATCGATTGGCGATTGGGGACCCACTCGGACCGTCTCGGGGCCTCTTAGGGTACTCTTGGCCTGTCTTGGTACTTTCTGAGGCCCCAGGGCCCCCAGGGGGGATGCGTATCTGACCCGCCCCCCCCCCCCCCCAGCGTTAATCTAGGTGGTGACCCCCCCGGGGCGCAGGGAAGGGATCATAGGAAAGGGGCTTCCCTTCGATTCCATCCGTATTCTGCTCAATTTTGCGTTGGACGGCCCGTACGAAGAGAGCCCTGGCACATGGAACAGAGGAGGACGGAGACGACGTCTCCAACGGAAAAGCCCGACTCGAACGGAAAAGCCCCTTACGCACGCCGACAGGGTCTGCTGATTCGAGCCTTATGCCAGCTCAGGGCGGTCTGCGCCAGGGCGTAGGCCCCGGCCACCAGCAGCGCGCCCCAAGAGGGCCCGCTCTCCACGGCCTTCTCCGCCTTGGTCTCGTCCGGGTCCTCCTCTGAGGTGGAACGTTCGAGGGGGACCAGCTCAGGGGGGGAAGCATCGACCTCTCGGGCTTTCGAGGCTGGAGGCTTTCGAGCGTTGTCGTCCGTCCTCGGCGGCTCTCTTGCCTCGGGATGCCTTCCAGCAGCTGCGCCTCGCCGAGAGCTGTCCGGGGCTTCCTGGACCGTCCCGAACGGCCGCTGGGGGCCCGGGAGGCCTCACCCGAAAACCAGCAAGGGGACCAGCTCAAGGGGGGAAGCATCGATCTGGAATCGGCGATACCTCGCCAAGAGATCGGCGACAGGCCCCCGATCGCGGCACTGTACGGGCGTGGGCGGGGTCGGCCACCGGCCCCCCTCTTGGCGATGACTGGACGCTTGGGGATCGATGCGCCCTCCTGAGCCTACCACCACCCCACACTGCCCTGCCTGAGCCCATCACCTCCTCACGTGGGCGGCGAGCCTGGGGGGGAAGGGAGGAGGGGCAGGGCCTCCTCAGAGGCCGGCGGGGCTTCTCGGAAGTCCTCTGGTCTTCTGACAGGTCCCCAATGCCTTCGGGGGCAACTCGAAACACTTCAAACGGAAGGCCCGAGGCCTTCAGGCCCGAGGCCTTCCGAGCCTTCTGAGAAGGCCCGCCCCTTCCCTGACCTTCCAGAGAGCTATGTTTCAGCAAGGGAGGCCTAAAAACCTGAAAAACAAAACGAAACAGCCTTAAACCAAGACATAGAATAGCTCTGGGATAGGTTTTTAAGTCGCGTGCCATTTTTTAGCCATCCTGGAAGGTCAGGGTTCTCTCTTCCCAAACCCCAGGCTCGTCACCCCCTCACCCTTCCCCTGCTCCTCCGCCGGCGCCACCGACCGCCCCTGCGGCGGCACGTCGCGGCGCCCCTCCAGGCCGAAGGCCAACACGACGGCGGCCAGCACGGCGCCCGAGGCCGCGTCCAGCCGGTGCGCCGTGTGCAGGGCCCTGATCCTCCAACGGGGGGCATGGCGACCCCAGTACCCGGCTCTGCGGGTTTTCGAATGGACCACCCGGAATTGAGGCCCATCTCGGGGATATACGCAGGAGGGGGCGTCCGTCCTTGACAGTGGCGCGCCCGACGAAGCCCCCCAGGGGTGCCTCCCCGAGATCCCCCCCGTCTCTGAGCGGCGGAATCTTCCGGGTGGAACTCGGGCGGCACCTTCCGCGCAGAGGGTGCTGAAGGCGCAGGTCGAGGGGGGGGGCCCGAGGGAAGACAAGAGAAAACCCGCACTGGCCATCGCTCGGACGTCCGCTCCCTGTGTTTTTTGTTCGGTTCCGTGCGTGGCTTTTTCGCCAGATGATCGAGGAGGCTCCTCGATGGCCCTCGCCGAAGGAAAAAAGTGCACACGCCCGAGCGATGCCAAGCGCAGGAGCGACGGCCCCCGGCCCGAGCCCACGGAGCTGCCCCCCTCCCGACGCCGAGGCTTGGGCGCCCGAATTATCCGGGGTAACTCGGGTCCGGGGTAACTCGGGTTTGGATTCCCGGAAAAGGAACCCGAGTCATCCCTGACCCGAGGTACCCCTGATGATGAGGGGCTCTGGACGCCCGAATTATCCGGAGTAACTCGGGCCCAGGGTAACGCGGGTTCGGATTCCCGAAAAACAAACCCGAGCTAACGCTGACCAGAGTTCCCCCTGATGATTCGGGGCTCTGAGAGGCTGTGGAGCCTCGGGCCACAAGCGCCCCGCGCCCCGCGCTCAACGCCGAGCGCGAGCGGCGCGCGACCGAGGTCGACGAAACTCGCCCGCGCGATCCTCGGGCTCCCGTGGGCGAGCACGGAGAGCAGGTGGAACCTTAGCCGCCCCCCGCGCGCGAGGGCCGCGGCCCGCAGCGTAGGGTCACGGGGCGCAGCAGGTTGGACAATTGAAGGGGCCCCAGGACACACACACACACACACACACACACACAAATACACACAAATAAAACTGTCCCCCATATTTCCCCATATTTTCTGTGTTTCTGTCTTCCCCCCCACTTCCCATATTTTCCCATATTTTCCTGGGAGTCGACGATTAATTGTGTCTGTATGTTTTTCCCCTCCTGAAAAACAGGGGCCGGCACGTTGGGCCGACACGCACCGTGTCGGCACGGACGCTCTGAAAGCGGCTCGTGCTGCGTGTCGGAGCGGGCGCATCCAGGCAGCTGAGGCTGGAGCAGGTTCGCCGCCGCGGACAGTGCCAGCAGCGCGGCCGAGCCCCCCACCAGCCCCTGGACGAGGTGCGCCTCCGAGTCCTGCAGCAGGAGTCCCACAGTGGTCACGGCGCCGACCAGGATCAGTACGGGCACAAAGAAAATCACACGGCTGGCATCGGACGAAACGAGCCCGCCGTTGTTTGTCAGCCGGGCTCGCCATTTCACAGAGAGAACCGCGCCCTCACACCTGCGAGGGCTAAGCATGTGAATTGCATAATCCGCACGTGCAACATGCTCTCATCACACCCTCCCTGGTGGCCTGCGGATCCACTACAATGTGGGGCCTAGAGCACACACGCGGATATGAGTGTCGAGTATGCAGTCAAGGCAATCCAAACCGACAAAACATCTGAACAATACGAACACAGTCAACGGTAAACAACAAAAGAGCCCTGCGAGTGGGGAACTGTCACGCCGATCTCTGGGGAAGTCCGTGCACATGTCTCTCAAGGGATGGCAGAACATTGCCAGGAGGCCTGCACGATTCTGAATGTCGAACTCCGCGTCCCCGCACACACCGAAAGTGATGTACAGCATGTGGCACTGCCACGCCGATCTGGGCCGACCCAAGTCATGGTCCAGCTCTATATCACGAGCGTACCTGACGGGAGGAGGAGGAGGAAGAGGAGGAGGAGGAGGAGGAGAAGGAGGAGGAGGAAGGAGGAGGAGGAGGAAGGAGGAGGAGGAGGAGGAGGAGGAGGAGGAGGGAGGAGGAGGGAGGAGGGAGGAGGGAGGAGGAGGAGGAGGAGGAGAGAGGAGGAGGAGGAGGAGGAGGAGAGGAGGAGGAGGGGAGGAGGAGAGGAGGAGGGAGGAGGAGGAGAGGAGGAGGAAGAGAGGAGGAGGAGGAGGGAGGAGGAGGAGGGAGGAGGAGGAGGAGGAGGAGGAGGAGGAGAGGGCGATCACCACCACCACCGCCAGGCAGAGGCGCAGAGTGAGGGTTCAGGGGTGGTGGTGCGCACGTTTCGGAGCACATCTGCGGGGCATCGTCCTCCTCCTCCTCCTCCTCCTCCTCCTCCTGCTCCCCCCAACCACCTTCCCTTTCTTCCCCTCCGCTTACTCATTCCCCTCCTCCCTCTGCTCTTCGCCCCCGTCGCTGCGCCTTTTTCCAAAACTCATCCAACTCTGCATCCCCCAGGTGGTGGTGGTGGTTGTGGTCAATTTCCCCATCCCTGACCTGGGAGTGGCGTTCGGAAGCGCCCCGCCTGGTGACAGGAATCTGGCAACGGCTCGGAAGGACATGCTGCTGCGCATCATCGGCTTGACCAGCGTGTAATCCGCCGTGGCCCTCTGTTGGCAGATTGCGGGGCGTGGCCGATTGCTGCCATCCACCTCGTCTACCTATCCCACCTCCTCAGGGCCGCCTTACAAATGCATGAAACGGGGAAAGTATACTAAAACGTGAAACAGCACACTGAAACATCCAGCAAGTCCCTCCCAGACCTCATCCATCTACTCCACCTCCGAGTTCGGATCACCCTCGTACTAGAACCCTTGTGCGCTTCGCGCACGCGCAAGTTCGACTTGTCATGGGGGCCAAACGGATAGCGCGTCAGACGGCCGCGTCCAGATTACGGGGCCCTTGGCTGAGAAACGCACACCTTGGTGTCTGAAGTCGCCTTGGCGCTTTGCACTCGCGACAATCGTGGGCGAACCTTTGGCAATAGTGTCACTCTCTTCGGGGCCCTCTGGGCCTCCGAGGCCGTGTTGGAGCCACACTCTGGCAACAGTCGGGGGCACGTGAACATAAAGGACATCACGTTGGGATGTTGGTGCTTCTCCAAATAGGCTTGCCCTACCGGGGCCCTAGCTAAAACCCAACTAATTGGTTCGTTGCCCCCCCCTAATTCCTATGCCCCCCCAATTACTATGCCCCCCCCGGATATCCAATGGCACCCCCCTCCTCCCTCCCCCCTTTTCCAATGGCACCCCCCCTTATGTATGTATGCTTGCTTGCATGCCTGCACGCTTGCTTGCTTACTTGCGCCCTTGGTCTCGCGCCTGCTTGCGCGCTTGCTTGCACGTTCGCTTGCTTGCTGAGTTGCGGATTCCAACCATGCTCGATTCCTCTGGCTCCTGGATTCGAATCGTCTAATCGATTTGGAATGAACGTTGGCTGATATGAATGTGCTGGCTCTCTTGGAAGTCCTGTGCGGGCACTCTGGCGACCTCCTTGGGGCACCATTGTACTACTGGTGATTTCCTGGGGCGGCTTGGGGGACTCCTGGGGCCGTCCTGGGGCCCTGTTGCAATTTCTGCACAGCTCATGAGGCCTCTTTTTGCAGAGTTCGGGAACGATCCTGGGGAGGCTCCCGGAAGGGAGGCGCCATGTAGGGTGCCCTGGGTACCCCGCGTGTGTTCTGGCCTGGGACCTCCAGTGTCGGGCGTCCGGTATACGAGTAGAGGCAGGTGGCACCAGGAAACATTTTAGGCGTGGGGTGTGGCAGGAGAGGGAAGCGGGAACAAGCGGAGAGCTGAAGAAGGGGGGGGCGGTGAGAAAGAGGGACAGTGAAGGCTGGGGGCGGGCATGAAACAAAGATGGTGAAGAAGGAGGAGGAAAACGAAAGAGATGAGGAAAATAACGAAGAGGAGAAAGAGGAGGAAGAGGAGCAATAGACCAACAAGTGAAATGTGGATGGGGGATGCGATTGCTTGCGGTGAGCGAACGCGGTAAACATATGCAAAAACGAGCCTGACACGGGAACGAAACGAGCTCTTTGAGCCCAATGGCAGCGGGAAGAATTCAGGGAACATGGGAAGATAACGCAAAAGGTGCCGTTCGAATCTGCTGAATCGACACTGCTGGACCTCGTCCGTCAGCGCATGCAAACCATGCGCTAATCAACGAAGCTTCATATAAAGTTGCTTGGCAGCCAAAAAATTCGACGGAGCACGCCTCATCGCCCTGGCTGCTCGACTTTCATCCCTCCTGCTGCCCAAACGACATGCGAGCGTCTCCGACATCCCTTGCCATCGCTGGGGTCGTGAGCTGCGATGACATAGCGGTTGCGAACCTATGTCACCGTTGCCCGATGACTTCGTCATTTTGGTCGCCATTGTCCCTGGTGCTATGGTGAGCTGGGCGTGAGCTTCTTGTGCCGTTCCTGTCTCGGCTTGGCGGCGTCGTGATCGTAGCTGGGGTGGCCGCTCATGATGTCCAAGATCAATCTCGGCCGATGCCCCCCTTGGTTAGGCGCTGCTTCACGTCGCGACTATCTCACCAAAAGGATATCCTCAATCTGCTTGGGGCGGCATGGATCTGATAATCGCCACAAGTGGCCGGCCATACTGCTCTCGGACGGCGGCCGAAAATTATCCCAGTGCGATCCGACCTAGGAGTTGGATCATTGAGGAAAGCAACCTCTACATCTACACCGACAGCTACATTTACATCTACACCTGCATTTACCCTATGCTGTGATATGCAATGCTATGCTGCGCTATGCTTTGCTATGCTATGATTTGCTGCGCTATGTTATGCTATGCTATGCTAGGATATGCATTGATATGATATGATGCACTATGGTATGATCTGTTATGCCATGTTTTGATGCGCTAGTCTATGCTATACCATAATGTGCTAAACTATGCTGTGATATGCTATGCTACGCTGCGCTGTGCTATGATAAGCAATGCTGTGATATGGTGTACTATGTTATGTTGCGCTATGCTATGCGATACTATGCTCTGATGTGCTAGGCTGGGCTATGCTATGCTAGGCTATGATATGCTATGATATGCTTGGTTATGCTATGCTACGCCATACTGTACCAATGCTGCGCTGCGCTATGCTGCGCTGCGTTGCGCTGCGCTAAGGCAAGCTAAGCTATGCTAAGATAAGTTAAGCCCAGCTAGGCGAACTTAAGCTCAGCTCAGCTCAGCTCAGCTAAGCTAGGCTAGGCTAGGCTAGGTTAAGCTCAGCAAAGCTAAGCGAAGCCAAGCCAAGCTAAGCTCAGCTCAGCTCAGCTAAGATAAGCTAAGATGAGATAAGCTAAGCTAAGCTAAGCTAAGCTAAGCTTAGCTTAGCTAAGCTGGGTGAACCCAGGGGGCGCAACTTGGGGAACCGCGGGGCGGATGCCAGGGGAACCGCCCGGGGCGAGCCCCGCTGCCCGGCCCTTTGAGCCCACGCAGTAAGAGCCCTTCTGGGCAGAACCTAGGTAGGGGATAATCCGCGGCCGCTGCCGCGAAGACGGACATGCCGTCCACGACCGCCCGCGCAGGCGCTGCGCAGCCTCCTTCTTCCCTCGGCCTCCCGGTCTCCTCAGACAATGGCGGGCCCCCGGATCGATCTCGTGGAGGAGGCGCGCCTGCAAGCCGCCCGTTGCCCCGCCGTCTGCGGGCAGCTCCGAACCGAAGGATAGCTTGCACCCGGGCTTGCGCGATCGGCCCGCGGCGTCGAACAAACGGCGCGCCCCCTTGCCCGAGCGCATGCATGCGGCGCCCCTCATGCCAGGCCCTGAAGACCCGTCGCTGCGCGCGCCAAGTTGGCCGGCGCATTCCTTTGCCGGGAATGCGATGTACGCCTTGATCTTCTGCGTGGCCAGGGCGACGGCGTCGAGCTGCATCGCGCGGCAGATGAGCAATTCTTTCTCGGCCCGCTGCGTCGCGACAATGCGTGCGGCGACGCGGCGCTGGGCAAGCGGAGCGCGCGTCGCTGCTCCCGTAGAGGTCTGGAAATTGACCTCCTGGTGGCTCGCCATTTATTGCTCTGACCAGGTCGACCTGCCCGATCGGCATCAGGGCGTCGATGTACTCGCCCTGGTCGACCGTCGCGGCGCCGTCGGCATGGCGCTGCTGGCGCGCCCAGCAGTTGGTGCAGTCGCCGTAGTCGCCCATCATGATCCACCAACCTGAGTCATGGATATGACTGGAGTTCCCGGATGGAGAAAAACTGCCCCATATTTACAACATTCGCTACGTGTAAATAACCCGTTCTGGCGCTTACTAAATGCTGTTCTCTCTGGTTTAGATTCTGTGGCGCGATCTACTCCACCCGATTCTCGCTTTACTGAATCGCTGCTTCGTCTGAAACTTCGCTGGCCCAACGGGCCAGAGGCGTGCTGCAATCTCCGGTAACTGCTTCACTGTTCCTCTACATAGCGCGCGGGCGGCCCTGGGGGGCCCCCGGAAGAAAAATGCCTCGGGCGAATGCCCAGGTGCTGCGGGTCAGAGATGGTTTGCCTCCTGGGCGCCGCCCTCGAAGCCGCCCACAAAGCCTTAATTCAGAAAGGCCAAGGAAGCCGCAAGAGCCCCTCAAGATGATACACGAGAGCTCTGAGATGCCACGAGATCGCTCCAAGACGCGCAAGATGCCCCCGAGACGGCCCAAAGCGCCCCTCAGAGCACTCTCGAGAGGGCCCCAAGTGGCAACATTCATTGCTGTTTTGGTTTCCATAGGTTTTGGATTTTTTGGGGCGTTCCCACCTCTTCGGTTACCCGACGCCACAAGACGGCCCATGAGGCCCCCGAGACTGCCCCACGAAGGCCCATGAGGCCCCCGAGAAGGCCCCAGGACGGCCCGACAGGGCTCCTGGCCCCGAAGATGCCCCCAGAGAAATCCCAGAGGCACATTTCGAGCTCTCGGCCATAGGAAGGTCCCAATAGTCTCCAAGAGGCCCCGAAGAGACCCCAAGACGCCCCCAACGAGCCCTCAGGAGGCCTCCAGGAGGCGCCCGAGCGGCCCCAGGAGGGCCCAAAGAGGCAACATGTATTACTTTTTTCGAAAAAGGCGTGGACAGATTTTGGCGTTTCCACCTCTTCGGCGCCCCGAAACCCCGCGACGGCCCAAGAAGCCCCCAGCCGACTGGAACTCGCAACTGACCGCTCGGCGCCGGCCCCGGGTCGGAGCGGGAGGCGCCGGAGCTCCAGGCGATCTCGTAGCCGCCTGGTCCAGGGAAGGTGGGGCTTCTATGTTTCGCGCCCGTCTCCGCCGCCCCTTCAACGACCTGCGCGGGTTGTAGACCAAAGGGCGCATGGTGGCCATCGCCCGCGCCCTCCACGGCCGGGGCGCGCGCGCCGCGCTGCGCGGCCGCACCGTCCCGGGAGGTCGCCACGATGGGGCGCTGGATCTCCCATTCAGCGACCTGCGACCCGTTGCCAAGTCCCGCCGCGGATAGCGAGGTTGGCAATTTCTCCTGAGAAGGTTGTAGATTCACCCGCTTGGCTCTCCAGTCAAAATTCCCGGCGAAACGCGTTCCCCAGGGGGTGGCCCAGGCGCCGGCGTCGATGACGACGCCTCACTGGCCGCCTGAGATTTCGACCCTTGCCCACTCATACGGCGAGTCGCCGGATGGTCTCGAGCCTGCCTCTGTCGGCCACCGCGGGAAAATCTGCCTATAATGAGGCATGTGCATGTCCAAATGGGCGTCTCATAGTAACGCTGCTTCCACTGCGGACATGAGAATGGGCGCCCCGCCCAGCGATGGCATAAGATCTGGCCACGGCGCCCCAGGGGCCAGGGCCGGTCGAGGAGACTGCGCAGACGCCTGTCGCGGCGGCGCCAACTCTGGAGGACCTCCCCCCCTCTCCTGCCGCGCGGGCCAGCGCCGTCATCATCGGCCCCGCCGAATCGCGATCCGCCGCGCGGGCCGGCGCCGTCGGCGTCGGGCCCTTTGGAGCAAGATCTGCACGCGTGGACCAGAAGTCGACTGCGTCGTCGGCTGGTCGGCGGCACGCCTGGGAGTTTTCCGCGCGGGCGTCGGCGGTCTTCATCGGCAGCGCGCGGCGCGCGGGGCGCAGGGCGCGTCGGCGCTGCAGGCGTACCACCCTCTTGCCGTGAGCGATGGCCTCGAGACTGATGGCCGGGGCACTCCCCGTCGTCGCCGACGCGCGCAACAACGGCGGGGGGCGGGGCGGGCGCCGCGGCCGGCACGGGAGGGGGGGGTGCTGTCCATCTCTGCGCGGCGCGGCGCCGCTGCTCGTCTTGCTGTCGCAGTGGCCCCAGTGCTCGCGGCGGTCTGAGTAGACCTCGTCGAGGTGTCGCCGTCGAGCCCAGCGTGCGCGCCGCGCTCGGATCGGCCGCCGCCAGACCCCCGGGTCTCGCGGCTGGCGAAAAACGCGGCCTGTAATGATTGTATAAGGCTTACCAACAGGGGGGTCTGGCATTGGCGGCGACGCTGGCGCTGGCGCGGCTTGCGGTCGCCTCGTGGAACTCGATCCACATGGGCTGCCGACGCCGAAGAGGGCCCATGAAAGCGCGCGCGCCCAGCGAGGCAATTGCATTTCGGTTGTCGAAAGAAGAGACGCGGCGGCTTGCGCGCTGAGGCCCCCCAGCCAATCGCGCCCTTGGGCTTGCCCCAGTGGATGTGCACCGCCCGCTCGCGCCCGCTGAAGCGGCGCCTGTCGCGGTGGCGCTGGTGGCGCTGCTGGGGGCGCCGGCGCGGCTGGCGGCGCCCCCCCTGACCCTGCCGCTCGAGCCCGCGACGTAGTCGCAAGGCCGGAATGCTGAGCAGCTTGCGCGCGGCCCATGCGGTCGGCCATCTCCTGTCGTAGTCGCCGTAGTTCGGCGTCGCGCGGGTTGGGCGATGCCGACGATGGCGCCGACGGCGATGCCGATGGCGGAAAAGGCCCTGTCTCAATTCATCGAAACCGCTAGCAACGGCCAGCCTGCTGCGGCATGCCGTCGGACGACGAGATTATTGCGGTGGCTGCTGCTGGCCGCTGCGCAGCGGATGCCGGCGCCGGCTGCCCGCCGCCCCAGAGGTCGGCGCTCTGCGCGGGTCGCTTTCGCCGGGGCCCGCAATCATAGAGTGCGACTTCCCGCGGTGCCCCAGGTCATCCAGACAGCGCGGGCGCCCGCGGCTGCTGCTCAGCTCGACGCGACGGCCTACGTTGTCCGAGAGCTGGCGTTCGGGCGCCGGCGTCGATGTAGAGAACGCGCCCTTGGCCGCGGCGCTGGGGGCAGTCGCGCGCGAGGTGCTCCTCGCCAGGGCCTACCGTTCTGCCTTGGCGGCCTGAACTCACGCCGTCGGTTCTGAACCACCGCCCCCCCTGCCTTCGCCCACCCCGAATCCGGCGAACGTCTCTTGCAAGTCAATGTCGGGCAAGTCGGCCAGGACGTCGCGTCTGCCTTCGCCGTTGACCTCTCAGCCCCGTCCTGCAATGCCGCGGGCGCGGCGCGCGGGCTCGCGGTTGTCGAAGCTGCGCCGCTGCGCCGCGGCGCGCTCGCAAGCCCAGAATGGGTGCGCGCCGCGCTTTGCCAGTGGCGCGTCGCGTAGTTCGGGGTCATCTGCGGCTATCTCTTCGCCGGAAGAGCTGACGGCGCCAGCGTTCGTGCCTGCGTCGACGCCCGCTACTGGGAACGCCTCCTGCACTGGCGGTGCTGGCGCAGGTGGGCTAGGCGCCGCCCCCGCCGTAGCTGGGCCCAAGCTGCCCCCGCTCGATCTGGCCGTAGTGTCATAGGCACTCTGAGCATGATCTTGCGCGGGCGCGCCCATGGGGGAGGTCTCCTGTTGGGCCGAGTTTACCGGGCGATCCCTCGACCACGCGCCCGCGGCGTCGCAGCTGGCCCCATCGCGCGCGCGAGCTGCGCGGCAATGGTCGGACATGCTATATGACAGCGTTGCAGAACAATGGTCAACTGGACGTTCGACACCTCGACCGCGCGCAGGAGAATGTAGCTGAGACTTTCGTGGCTGCTCACGCGTTGACCAGCCCGGTGTGCACGGCTGCGCAGGATGCCGAAACGCGCGAGGCAGCTGCCAATGCGTTGCCGCCGATGTCTGCTGAAATTCATGAGCGCCGGAACTGCCGAGGCGCGCTCCTCCTCGTCGAGATGGCCCCATCCTTCGGCCAAGCATTGCATCAGGAAGGTCATTGGTGGCACTGGGTTGTCGTTGATGTGCCATCCTTGGATCAAGACGGCAGGTGGCCATTTGCCGACGCACTCACGTGCCATGCCGGCGACGCGTGGGACATCGGCTGCCTGGCGAAACTCTTTGAGATCTGAGTTCGCCAGTGGCCAGACATTCACCTCCCGCGAACATCGCTGGAATAAAAGCATTCGAAAGTGCTGCTCGGGCCACCAGGTGCGGAGGTGTCACATGCTGCCGCCGCCGCCGCCGCCGCCTGCGTCCATGTAGGATCGGCAACCCTTCGCGGCAAGCATGCCCACGATCCTGGAGTGGGGAGGTGCGCTGCTGTGGCCGTGAGCTTCAGGGCCGACGCGGTCGTCGAGGGGAGTGCGCATCGGGACCTCGTCCAGCCAAGCAAAAGGAAATATCAAATGGTGTGGCGATCGTCATGTTCCCAAACATCGAAGACATATTGTCCCAGGTCGAATCCCGCTGTCGCTTGGAAAGCTGACGCAATAGTCGCCAGACCTTCCACGAACCAGCCAATATTATCAGGCGGCTCTCCCCAAAAACTCTCGCAATCTAGTTACGTTGAATTCGGGGAAGACCGTCGTCGCCATCAACGTCGTCATCACTATCACAATCATTGTTATTATGATTTAAACCCCTGTTTTCACCAGCGTCAAACCCACGATCATCAGGACCCCGATCGTCAGCGCCACCATGATTGATACTTCCACCCGCCACAATCATTATCCGATCCATTGAGTGCGACCCCTTTCATAACACCGACCACCCCCAGGAACCTCCCGGGCCCACCACACCCAGTAAAACCCCCAAACAGGCGCATCCTCCCCAATCTTTGTTTCGAATGGATATTTCATCCCTATCGCACCCCCGCGCGTGTCCGTTAGCTTGGCGGGGCGTTTCGCTTGCGATCTCCTCGGACGTATGGTCTTGAAGCTTGAAAATTGCAACGGGTTCAAGGAAGGACGGCGGGCCGCTTTCAGAATGGAGGTCTCGTAACAGCGCCGCGCACATTCGTCTTCAAAAACTGCAGCAGCGTCCTGGATGGAGGCCAGTTTCTGTTCAAACTGTGGCTCTCTCATTATCGCAGCGCATATTCGTTTTGAAAAGCGCAAAGCAATCACATTGAGGGGTACCCTACTCCTACCAGGTGTATCATGTAAAGCTGGTGTCGCCTTGCACTGCATGGTCCTGACGATGCATATCTTCCCAACGGTTTGGAGTCTGCGGTGGGTGTCATCCTTTTCTTGTTCAGTAGGTATGGCGATTTTCTTCCAACTGGCCACTCCATCTCCTGCAATGGCAAATATATCCTGTAGGGACTTATGACGGAGGAATTTGGAGGAAAGGTGGATTGAAATATTGTTTGCGCCTCTTGGGTTTACACTGGGCTTTCTCCTCCTTGTCGTCCTCCTCCCGTTCCTCGTCTTCCTCCTCCACTTTCTCCTCCTCCTTCTCTTCCACTTCCTCCTCCTCCTCCTCCGTCTCTCCCTCCCTCCCGAAGGGCGAAAGGCCCAGAGGGTCCGACCAGAACAGCCAAGGGGGCAGGAATAGATGGGGGATGGGAGGGAGGACGGATGGAAGGGCGGAAGAGGGGAGCGGAAATGGGATTGAGGAAGAAAGGGGGGGGCGGCGAGGGCCAAGAGGGGGCGGTAGCGGTAGCGGGAAAAGCTAACTTCTGGGCATCATACCCCCGGCAAAGTATGGTTCGTCCACCGTGTGTATGTGTGTGTTTGCGGCACGGCGCCAGCCTCCCTGATTGACCGCGTGCCCTCGATTCAGGCAAGGCTGGGCGCCGACGAGCCTCACGCGGCGGCGCACGCGCCCGCCGCTGCCAGCACAAGCCCGCCCCCCCCCCCCTTCCCCTGCTACCCCTTCAGAGGACGTGGAGGAGGCACGTGGGGGTGGCGGAGGAATGGCGTGCTTGCCCCTAGACAAGTGCCCCGAGCAGTGACCAAAGGAGTCGCTGGAGCCCCTGTGGATGCAGACGAGGTGGCGCAGTGATGCCATGAATGTTCGCGGGAGGTGCGCAAGGGGAGGGGCAGTCCTTCCCGCTTCTGGTCCTTGCCTGGCGCATGGTGCCTCACCACGATCAGCGACGAGTGCGACAAGAATCCAACACCAACTGCCTCCATGTGACAGAAGAACATCAGGCGGGACAAAATCATGGGGAAGACCATCGCGCAACTGGCGCACAAAACATCCCACTCCACCGCTATATCCGTAATCCTTGTCCTCCTCCTCCGCCTCCTGCTCATGCTCCTCCTGCTGCTAATCATCATCATCATCATCATCATCATCATCATCATCATCATCATCATCATCATCATCATCGTCATCGTCATCGTCATCGTCATCATCATCATCAACATCATCATCAGCATCATCATCATCGTCATCGCCATTGTCATCATCAGTTCGATCATCATCATCGTCATCATCATCACCCTCGCCATCGCTATCATCATCATCATCATCATCATCATCATCATCATCATCAGCATCATCAACCGCAACAACAGCATCCTCATCCTCAACCGCTCACCATCCAGTTGCCGCGTTGCCCCACCCATAACCAAATCGCAATCGCCAGAGTCGTCGTAGCGTTCAACGCTGTTTGAGCTGCTCCTTCTCATCCCTGCTCCCGCGCATCCCAATTCGTCGTCGGCCTTCTGCTGCTCCTCCTCCTCCTGCATCCCCAATCGGTCGGTCCTCTGGCTTTGCGCAGCAAGCGTCTGCATACCCTGTGAACTGGGGCCTCGGAGCGTCCAAGAATCACACTCAATGAGGACCGTACGTGGAGATCAAGTTCGAACCCTGCGGCGCAAGATATCCCTCTGGACTTCCAGAAATAATATCGCGGGTGCGGCAATGGAGAGGACATGGGTGGGTGTACAGAAATATTGTAACCCCCAAACTACCACCCATGCTAAAATCAACATTGGTTCCAGGGGCCTGGAGACCATGAGCATCCCCTCTCAAGTGTGTCAGGGTTCGAATCGTTCGTCAATGTACTGGAGCAATATTGAGAGTGTTGCTCTGTCTTGAACGCCGCGCACATTCCCTTCAGCATATTCTCCAGCTGCACAAACGAAGAGGACCGTTTTGAAAACGTGGCCCTCGCCTCAAGGCCACACACACTCGTCTCAACCGACTGCACCAAGTACATGGTTGGGCGGTGGGCCGGTGACGACATGTGACTCTCGCCTGGAGGCCTCACGCGTTTGTTCTCGCATATCGCAGCGATGGCATGGGTGGAGGGCGGATGCTTTCCGAAATGAGGCTCCAGCTGGAGCTTCAAATTCGGTATCCCCAGACTTAGGCACGTTGGGTGTGAGCCATGATTTACCCTCCAAAAAACATGACCCGAGGTTCAACCGCGCACGGCAGGTACACGGATGGATGCTGGTTGCCTTTCAAATGAGGGATACCGTATCAGTCACTCAAGTGAGGGGGACTAGCTTCACACGCCATTGAAATCGATCGTCCTACATGTTGACCCTTCAAAGCGGGGCTCTGGCCTGACTGACGGGTCCCTGGGGCTCTGGTATGCAGGAAGACCTTTCAGGCGAGCGCCCGTCGTTTTGGTACTTACGAACGTGTGGACATGCAGAAGGAGGCAGGGTGGAACGAGACAGGAGGATGCATTGCAACATTTTCCCAGGCCCACCTCCCGTCCACCATGGCCCATGTCACCACATCAGTATCATCACCGTCACGGACGTCATTACATCGCCCTCCTTGTGCTGCTTCGACTCTTCTTCCGCCCTCCGCCTCCTGCTCCTCCTGACTCCCCTCTCCCTCCACCTGCAGTACAAATATCAGCATAGGCATCATCCTGATCACAACCATCATTTGTCATCGCCCTCCGCCTTATACTCACAATTCCTCCTCCTCCTCCTCCTCTTCCTCGTCTTCCTGCTGCTGCTGCTGCTCCTCCTCCAGCCGTGCTACTCCTGCTGTTCCTCCAGATCCCGCTGATCTGTCCCTCCTCCTGCTTAGCCTCCTCCTCCTCATATTCGTCACGCTGCTGCTCCAACTTCTCATCATGGGCGGGGGCCTTCGTCCACGGAAGGGCCACTCCGCCTCCAGCGCCACGCCCATGGAGAGCCTGGCCCGCTGCAGCGACGCGGACTCCAGCATGTCCTGTGGCGACGCGCGCAGGAGGGGGCAGGGCGAGGGGGGGTACGCGTGAGGGCGAGGGGGATCGGGTCGCATTGCTTGAACCTTGCTGGCCTCTTTTGGTGGGCCTCCAGAACCCTCCGGGATCTCGAGGGGCCTCCGAAGGCCTCTGGCGGCCCCTGGCGAGCTCCGAAGTCTGCGGCCGACGCGGCCGCCAACGCGAGGTCGTCGCCAGCAGCGGCGACGCCGCGTCGGCGTCGGCGCTGGCCGGGGCGATTGGGGGCGGGGCTGGGGCGGGGGGCGGGCGAAAGGGGTTAGAACGACGGGGGGGCGCTATGGGGGGCGTCCTGGCAGGGCCGTGCCACCGTGCCACCAGACGACCAATGCTCCCCACGCCTTCTAGGAGGGCGACGTGTGTAGGAGAATGGCAGAACGCCCCCGCACGGCGCACCCCCATTGGCGCCCGCCGCAGCGTCCTGTGACATGTTGCTGGTGTCCACGTCAACCTGCCGCTCCGCCCACGAGGCAGGAGGTAGGAGAAAGAAGAGCATCAGCAGGAGACGTATGGGGTAGAATCTATGGAGCGGCAGCAGCAGGAACACATGGGCAGGACACAAGAAGAGAGAAGAGGGGGCAACAACAAGCAGCTCGAGGAGCAGGGCACGGAGTGGGACCCGCCGGGGAGGACCCTGAGGGGATGTAGTGGGCAGAGGAACGCAGGGAGTGATCCCGCCGGGGAGGAGGGATGCGCACGAAACACCCACGACGCCGTCGTCGGCGGTCAATAGCAGTCCCAGGTCCACACCGAGCCAGCGGTACTACAACTCGACTGTTGCTCTCTCCCTCCGTTCCTTTCCATTCTCTCCTCCCTCCCCTCTCCCTCCCGAGCTCACGCCGAATCCCACTCCTCCCACCTTCTGTTACAATTATCTTTCCCCCTCCTCCCTCCGCGTCCTTCCCCTCCTCCCTCCGTCCTCCTCCTCCATCCTTCTCCTGCCTCCTCCCCCCGCCACGTCCTCCTGCTCCTCATCCTATTCCTCCTCCTCCTCCTCCTCCTCCTCCTCCTCCTCTTCCTCCTCAGCCTCCCCGACTCCTCCTCATCCACTTCCTTCTCTCAATAATCCACCTCACCCTCGTCAGGCTCGTTTCCCTCGTCGTCGTCGTCGTCGTCGTCCTCCCCCTCCTCGCCTTCCCCCCCATCCTCTTCCTCCTCCTCCTCCACCTCCTCCCCCTCCTCCTCCTTCTCCTCCTCCTCCTTCTCCTCCTCCTGCTCCCCCTCCTCCTCCTCCTCCCCCTCCTCCTCCTCCTCCTCAATTTCTCCATCAACCGAACACGCAACGCCCCGTCACTACCGCGCCGCCACCGCCAACGGCCATCCCTCGGGCCCGCCACGGCCTGCAAGTCCGCCAGCCCGCCGCCGCTGCACAAGCCCAGCACGCCGGCCGACACCCACTCGCGGGCGGCCGTGGCGGAGGGAGGGGGGAATGAAGAGGGAGGGGGGCAAGGGGCGGGCAGGAGGAGGGAGGAGGGAGGGGTAATTATCAGAGAGGAGGAGGAGTCTGAGCGGTACCCCCCCTCACCCTCTCGATAGGCCTGCTGGGGGAGGGCCACGAGACTTGAGCGCACAACCAGTCCGACCGCCACCGCTCGATACCGGGCAGATTCGACAGGGCAGGCTTCAAGAACCCTGAAGCTCTCACGACAGACGGTTGGTCGACAGGACGGCCCCCTCGTCGCAGTCAGCGCGGCGGCCGCCATCCACAGGCTGATGATTCTCTACAACTTCGGCTCCTATGTGCTTTCGGCTACGCGCAAGAGCTGCCCTACGCAGGAGTGACCTTTGGTGTGTGGCTTAAGGAGGGCCAGGGGGGGCGACATCAAAGCGCGGAAGCCGCTGCTGCAGCTATCGCGTCCTGTTCAACGATCGCGGCACGCCAATGGGCCCGCACGGAAGGTCACTCCGGCGAGGGGTCACTCTTGCGTGTAGTCGATGCTCGCACAGAGTGGTGCTGCCCAGCCAGCGCGAACTCCGCCCTCGATCCTGCCTCCATCATAATCCATCGCAGGCTCTGGCCGCTGAACAAGCCGGCCGTTCACCTGGAGGTTCTCTCCCGTCGATACCACCTCAGAGACGACCCTGGCCGGCTCCTGCATCAACTTCCGTATTCAGCCTTGCGAGAGCCGTGGAGCAGAGCGCGGTGAGGTGCTTGGCGCGCTCGCGACTGGGCCTCGCAGCCGTGGGCTCTTGTGCTAGCGCGCAGCAGGGCCACCCCGCCGCTGATCAATTGCCGCATGGGACCTACACAGGAAACGTTCCGCTGCTGCGGCTCCCGCCACTGGAGAAAGGCCACTCGACCGAGCCCCCAGGGCGACGTGTCGCCAGTGATGTGTCGCAAGAGCCAAGGCTCCAGCCGCAGCATGCCCCAAGACCTGACGCCATCTCAAAACCACCTGAAGGGCTTCAGGGTTCAGCTGTTCTGGGGTACGTTCCGCCTCACCCCAAGAGAGGCTGCGGTGTCAAGCGCCATGGACGCCCAGAGGCTCGATGCCAATCGTAATGCTCACCGAACCGGGCATAGTCACACAACTTAAAGCAAGGCAAACCCGCTTCATGAACCGCAAGTGTGATGAACACATGTTTGATATATATATATATATATATATGTATATATGTATACAGATAGCTATATCGTATTTATATATAAGTATATCCAAACGACTTCCGCCCGTTTGCTAGAACTCGTACACTCCAATGTCATCCTAATCACGCGATCCGCAAACCCTCCCAGTTGGCCACTCGTTTCAACCAAGGCCTGTGCATTCAAAGAGCCTCTGCCCAAGTAGTCTTCATGAAGCGAATGCATCAACAGCCTCCACAGATGCAGAAAAAAGAGGGCGGGAAGAGGAGGATTGAGGAGGCATTTCTGAGATGAGGAAGGAGGGAGGATTCTGGATTCTGGATGTGGCGCGCCAGGTGCCTGGCAATTGCACATCCCGTCGCAGAGACCGCGATAAGGACAAGCATCAGACTAGCTTTCCGACGGGTATCAAACACAACTGCCCGAAAACAAAACCGGCGCACGACATGGGCATTGCTGGGTGCGGCTTCGGTCCCACAAGTGCCATACAAACGCCGAGCCAAGCGCGTCCCTGTCCCGCTGGATCAAGGTAAGGGTTAAGCCTATATGCCCACGAAGGGGCAGCCACTCAGGGCACTGGCGGCTGAAAGCTAGCAGTCGCGACTTCACGTGGTGAAAGAAAAACCTCCTGCCATACATTTCCAGGAATACATGCCTCTGGCTGTTTGGCTGCTGCTCTCAGGGGATGGCAAGGGACAACAGAGTCGAATTTCGACCGCGTCCCTGGATGCCCCGCTCCACGGGACACACCGCAGGTTCGTCTCCTGCCGAGCTTGTTCCCGACGCCGCGGGGATCGATCATCCTTGAACGATCGGCCGTTTCCGAAACGTCCGATGGCTCAGCGTCGACCGATTCTGGTCGCCAGCGGTCGGCGACCTACTGACCTAGGTCACTCCAGACCCGGGTCCGTCAGGCCTTGCAGAATCCTGCACGCGAGCCCCGGGTCAGTGCACCATCGGCTCTGCAGGATCCTGCAAGCTCTGGCTGACTCTTGCGGACCCCCCTGTGCATGGACCCCCGTCTCTGGCGCACACTGGAGCGGCGTCCAGCGTTGCACCTCGGTGTCGAGGCCGCCACTGGCCGACACGACGCGAGTCTGCCGTAACTTGACGGCGCGCGCAAGGGGGTGGGGGGAGGGGGGAGGGCTTCTCAGAAGGCGGCTGCTTCTTAGAAGGCGCCGGCCTTACATCTACAGATGAGGCCCGCGCCTTCTAAGAAGCAGGGGTGCTTCTAAGAAGCCATCTAAGTGCCGACCTCGGCGCCTGTTCCCGACGCCGCGGGGATCGATCATCCTTGAACGATCGGCCGTTTCCGAAACGTCCGATGACTCGGCGTCGACCGACTCTGGTCGCCAGCGGTCGGCGACCTGCTGACCCAGCTCACTCCAGACCCGGGTCCGTCGGGCCTGGCAGAATCCTGCACGCGAGCCCCGGGTCAGTGCACCACTGGCTCTGCAGGATCCTGCAGGATCTGGCGCCCCGGGGCTGACACCCCCCTGTGCATGGACCCCCGTCTCTGGCGCGCACCGGAGCGGCGTCCAGCGCTGCACCTCGGTGGCGAGGTCGCCACTGGCCGACACGACGCGAGCCTTATGTCGGGCGTGTCCCCCCGCAGGAGGATCTTCAACGGAAAATTAAAAATACCCCAAAAATACCCCTAGAAAGTCAAACAATACTCAAAACATAGCCCCCAGAGTATTTTTGCTTTTATATTATTTTCTGATTATTTCGGGGATGCTTTTATTTTTCGTCGAAGATCCCCCTGTAGGGGGATAGGCCCGACTTAACGCGAGCCTGCCGTAACGACGCCGCGCCCGCGCCTCGGCCCCGAGGGCGCGGCCGCCGCGGCGCGGCGCGGCTCCCTCTCGGGCAGCCCCAACGGCGCGGCGCGGCGCGGGGGCCCGCCGGCGGGGCGCGGCGCGGAGCGGCCTCCCCGCCGAGAGGGGCGCCGGGGAGACCCAGACACCCGAAAGGGCAGGAGATCGGCTGCAGAATCGATGTACCCGTAAGTCGGGCCTGTCCCCCCACAGGGGGATTTTCGACGAAAAATAAAAGATACCCCACAAATAATCAAAAAATTATCCAAAGATAGTCTGGGGACTATTTTTTTAGTATTTGTTGACCTTTTGGTGCATTTTGGGGGTATTTTCATTTTTTCGTCGAAAATCCCCCTGTAGGGGAGCACGCCCGACATAAATCTATTCAAGATTGCACATGACGCTGCGCAGATTTGCGGAACGCCTGCACGCCATCTGCTCGCACGCCCGGCGCTCGCACGGGCAGGCAAGCGGGACCGCACCGACTCTGCCGTGGATCCCCCGCTCGCATCCGACGCCCACCTCGCGCGCCTGGGAAGCGCCGAGCCGATGGCCCGCGTGCTGCGGGGCGCGCGCACGACGCGCCCCCGGCGGGCGGCCCGTGCGCTCGCGCGGTCCGCGTGGGCCGCAGCGCCCCCCCTCCGCGCAGGGCCCCCCCGCCCCCCCCGTGCGCGCGCGCGGGCGGGGCCCCGGGGTGGCCCGGGGTGCTCTGCTCAAGGCGCGTAGATCGGCGGCGCTCGGGCCGGGCGAAAGGGGGGGACAGCAAAGGGGGCCCCTCGGCGGGGCTGAAGCCAGCTGCGTGCGGCAGAGTCGTACCTCCCACCCCCCTTTCCCTGTCCCCCCCTGTCGCTCGGCCCGAGGCGCGCAAAGAGGGGGGCTTGGCTGGGCCTGGGACAGACGAGCACCCTCCAGAAACAGGAGGCCCTCCGCCGGCCAGACTGAAGAGCATTCAGAGGGCGCCCTCTCCCAGGCTGCACCAGAGCATCCAGCAAGAACGAAGGACACGACCTCCGCGAGCCGACCTCGACCTTGTGCCTCGGTCCGACCATACTGCGACGGGGGAAGGCTTCTTAGAGGGGCGCTGCTCCTCAGAAGGCGCCGGCCTTCGACCTGCAGATCGAAGGCCCGCGCCTTCTGCGAAGCAGGGTGCTCTTGAGGAGCCTTCTTCCCCCCTTCCCCTGCCACCCTCTGCGCGTGGCCGAGCCCTGTCCACGGCGCGCCAGACGAGGCCAGGACAAGGATCACATCGGGAGGAGGAGGAGGAGGAGGAGGAGGAGGAGGAGGAGGAGGAGGAGGAAGAGGAACGCTCCCGACGCCCCGGGCGCGGCTCCCCAGAAGCCCGGGCCCCTTCCCGAAGACGAGCGTTCCCATCCCGAGCCGTTTTTTGCTGGCGGCCCCAGGGCACGCCGAGATTCCTTCGAGGCGCGGGTCGAGACGCGAGGGCGTCGGGGGACGGCTGGGCGGGAAGGAGAGCGCTCCCACACCGAGAGGTCCCCCCTCGGATCGGTCGGGCGCCAGCTCACCGTCGGGGGACGGCTGGGCGGGAAGGAAAACGCTCCCACACCGAGAGGTCCCCCCTCGGATCGGTCGAGCGCCAGCTCACCCCCCCAGGAGGCACACGAGGCTGGGCGGGAAGGAGAGCGCTCCCACACCGAGAGGTCCCCCCTCGGATCGGTCGGGCGCCAGCTCCCCCCCCCAGGAGGCACAGGAGGCAGACGCAGTGGAGCCAGCTGCTCCCTGGGGCCCGCAGTGCGCCTCGGCAGAGGAGCCCTCTGAGGCACGGCGCGGGCAGACCCGGGGCCCCGTGGACGGAAGCTCTGCCCGACCACGGCGTCTGCACGCCCCGTGGGAGCTGCAGGCCGCGGGTCGGAACGCTCTCCACTCTCCGCCGTCTCCCGCTGGACACGAGACAGGTCATGGCCTTAGTTGCCTCGATACGCAACACGCAACACGTAGCGTATCGATACGGAGCTCAACACGTGGGCTGAAAACGTAGGTCCGACGCGATACATTCGCCAAAACGTGGCCCAATACGTGGAGCCAACACGCAACCTATTGACACGGACGTCTTGAACAGGGGACGCGTTGCGCTTCAGAACGGGCGTATCGAGGCAACTAAGGTCCTGGCTTGCGCTGTCCTCGCTGGTGCCCCGACAGCTTCGCAGCACCCCAGCAGACCTGGGGGGCGCCTGACAGAGGCGGCAGGAGGGGGGGGAGAAGCGCAGAGCACCGGCAGTCTCATCCTTCGGCTCGCTGCTCCCGAGGACCTCCGACCACGCCACCCTTTTCACAACGTGGGCCCCTGGAAATCTGGATCTGCTCCCTGGGGCCGGCTCCTCATCCCGAACCGTCTTCTGAAGTTCCCAGGGCCCGGCAAGGGCCCCCAGAGGCAGAGCAGTGGCTCAGGTGAGGTTGGTTCCGCAGCGATGAGGGGTCTGTGCTCCCCATAGCCTTCTCCGTATCCATCCTCCCTTGCTACTGCGAGGAGGGGAAGAGGGGGCGAAGAGGGGAGAGTGGCATGGACTTGGGCACGGAAGCCAGGGGCGGCTCGAGCTGCGAGAAGGAAGCTGCAGGGGTGGGCAGAGAAGGAGGGACGGAACGAAGGGAGGCAGGAAGAGAGAGGCGCAGGATGCTGTTGTTGAACATTATTACTTCTAAAGAATAATTATTGTTGGGGCCCCTGGTGCACGACCCCCCCGCCGCGCCTAGGCCGCAGCCACGTTTTCATCATTTTCGTGAAGAAGTCTCAAGCAAAACGGGTTGGTCCGGATCCGGTTGTGTTGTTACGATCGGTTTTCCCTTGCAAAAAAAAGCTAAAGTGGACATTTCTTGTTCTAACATATCCAAACTTCAAGAATCCCTTGCAAAAAAAGGTAAAGTGGACATTCGCGCGCGCAAGACGAAATCCTTCCAAAACCTTAGTTTTCGTAGCGATTTTAACATAAAAACATCAAAAAAAACCAATGGTTTTGAAAAAATGTCAAAATTTCATCCCGCGCGCTCTTGCGGATTCGTAGGAAACCCAACACTTTTTATACATTTCTGTCAAACGGGCTTTTGCGAGCAACTTTTTCGAACTTCTGCAACAACGGTTGCGCACCTGCCAGGGCCATCATCCCTGTCAAATAATACCATGCGGGACACATTCGTTTTTTCTTCGCGCGCGCACGCCGTCGTCGTCGGCCGCGGGGCCCTGAATAGTAGCCACGGTCGTCCGCATGCCACGAAGTGAAGTGTCCGAACGTCATAGGGCGGGAAGCTGGGTGTGGGTGGTGGCGAAGAGTCGTTTGGAAATTTGGTAGAGCTTGAACCGGCCCCCCCACAAAGTGGGGGTATTGCCCGCCTCCTATGAAAACCCTGGCACTGGTGAGAACGGAGTGTCCCCACGTGCTAGTAATTGTTGAACACTATTACTTCTAAAGAATTATTATTGTTGGACCCCCTGGTGCACGCCCCCCGCCCAAAACCTAGGCCGCAGCTACATTTTCATCATTTTTCTGCGAAAGCTTCAGAAAAGTGGATTACCCCCGGATCCGGTTTTTTGTTGACGCTCGTTTTCCCTTGCAAAAAACAATAGAAAATGAAAATTCTTGTTCTTAGTTGATCAAATTTCAAGAATCCCTTGCAAAAAATAAGGTAAAGTGGACATTCGCGCTCGCAAGACGAAATCCTTCCAAAACCTTAGGTTTCGTAGCGATTTTAACATAAAAACATCAAAAACCCAATGGTTTTTTAAGAAAAAATTGTCAAAATGTCCTTCCGCGCGCTCTTGCGGATTCATAGGAAACACACCACTTTTTAAACATTTCTGTCAAAAGGGTCTTTGCGTGCTACTTCTTCAGGTGCTTTGAACTTCTCCAACAACGGTTGCGCGCCTGCGAGGGCCACCATCCCTTGCAAAAAATGAGACGAAGTGCACATGCGCGCGGCCGCCGCGCGCGCATGTCGAAATCCTGCCAAACACAATGGGTTTTCAATAATTTCAAGATGCGATGTTCAGAAAACATATGAAAACGCACTACTTTCTCATCCGAAAAATCTCGAAATCCATTCGCGGTCTCTTGATGAATCTTTAAAACCCAAGATGGCCCCAACAGGCGCGCAAGATGGCACCCCTTTGTGTCCAGAGCCGCGCCGTCTGCGTTCTTCCTTTCTCGCTTCTCTCCTTTCCTCCTTGTCCTGCTCCTCCTCCCCCTCTTCCGCCTTGGAGCCGTATTGGAACTGTCGATGGCCATCTCCCTTTCTCCCTCGCATGTCTGCTTGTACATACGTATAATTTCAGAACTTACCGTGCATGCGATCGTTTACAACATGGTGGACCGTGCGTATGTCACGAACCTTGTATACATGTGTTTCTCTCCCTCCGTCTGGCTGTGCACGCGCGCGTTGGGCACTGAGAGTTAGGATCATAGCGCCATGAGTCTATGAGCAATGCATGCGTCATCCTTGGGACTGTATAACATCAGTGTAACACATGTACTTCTGTAATCGCATCCCCACGAATTTGCCCCAAAAATGTGACCAACTATCTTGGCACTGCGTACCATCTCACGTGTACCGTGTACCACATCATATGTAACAGATGTGATCAACCTCTGTGGGTGTGTACCCCACGCCAGTGTAGTAGCCAGGGTCGTCCGCACGCCACGAAGTGAAGTGTCCCAACGTCATAGGGCGGGAAGCTGGGTGTGGGTGGTCTCGAAGAGTCGTTTGGATATTTGGTAGAGCTTGAACGGCCCCCCCACGAAGTGGGGGTATTGGCTGGTGTCGCAAGAAAACCCTGGCACTGGGGAGAACACTGAGCGTTCGGGTAAAATGATTGTTGTTGTTGTTGTTGTTGTTGTTGGTGGTGGTGGTGGTGGTGGTGGTGGTGGTGGTGGTGATTATTATGGTGGTGATGATGCTGATGATGAGGATGTTGATGATGCTGCTGCTGCTGATGATGATGATGAGGAGGAGGAGGAGGAGGGAGGGAAGAGGGGGAGCGGGGAGTGAGGGGAGCGGGGAGGGGGAGCGCCCCCGGGCGCCCGAGCGAGAACTGGGAGAACGAGGGTGGCGGAGCTTCTTGGGAGAAAGGGAGAGGGGGGTGTTATCCTGGTCTTCCTCCTCCTCCTCCTCCTCCTCCTCCTCCTCATCCTCCCATTGCTCGTGCCCCTCATCCTCATCATCATCGTCATCACCGACCGTCACTTTGGTAGGGGCCGCAGGGGATATTGGGAGGGGGGAGGGCAGCGTTCCAGGCGACTGAAGATAATGCGCGGGGGATTGGGAACGAACGGGCAAACGGGGGGAAGGAAAGCGCAAATAAAACGAGGACGGGAGAAATAGGACGGGAAGGGGCAAATATGAGGTAAAGGGGAACAACGACCAGGAGGGATAGCATAAAAACGTGGGAGGAGGATGAGGAGGAGCAGCAGGAGGAGGACAAAGGGGCGAGGCGAAGCAATACGCTGGTCAATCGTCCCAAGGGGCGGCCCTACGGAAGCCCCGTTGTGGCAACGGAACGCCGAGAAACGACATATCAGCGGAGGGGGGGGTGAGGAGGGGATGAAGGACGATGCAGACCAACCAGAGTACCAGGGACGGGGGAGGGAGGAGGAGCACACGGCTGACGGGCAGGACCCGAGGTTCGAACAGCTCTGCCGAAGGCAGGAGCGAACGGGGGAGGTCAAGAAATCATGAGAGGGCGGTTCGCCCGCAGCGGCCCTGGGTGCCACCACTGCAAACGGTGGACGAGCAGGAAGTTGACGAGGGAGGGGGAGGAGGAGGAGGGGGAGGAGGAGGAGGAGGAGGAGGAGGAGGAGGAGGAGGAGGAGGAGGAGAAGGAGGAGGAGGAGGAGGACGAGGAGGAGGGGGAGGACGACAGCGGGCAAGAGGACCTGTAGCAAATTGCAGTAAAAAGCAGGATTCGAAGTCATGCCGGGCGCTGTGGGCTCGGTCTCGCGAGCAGATCCCACAGCCCGAGCTCGGCAGAAGCACGGCGAAAAAAGGCCTGTCCTGGTCGGGCTGCAGCACTGCCCTGCCCGACAGCACCTGGGCGCCGCGAGAGGATTCGGACGAGGCATGGGAGGCCAGCGCTGCATCGTCGTCGTCCCCATCATGCACGTGGGCCCCGCCCCCAGGCCTTGTACGCCGACGGCTTCGGAGAGCAGCTCTGACAGCCATATCATCAGTTTGAGGCCCGAGGAGGCGGAGGAACACAGCCGCTGGGCGCGAGGCAACAGCGCTCAAGGCACAGGGGATACTCAAAGCCGCCAACCCAACGAGGCATCCGAAACTGTTTGGGCTCAGGGCGCTGAACCAAGTAAGGCGGCACCCAGCTCCGTCAAGCCCTGGGGGCCCTGATATAGTAGAGCCATGTTTCCAAACAGTTTGGCGATGGCGCAGTTACTGAACGATTTCGATGAAGCTGGAAGGGCAGACGAAACCTGGGCGAGATTGTCGCACGCGTGCACGCACACACTCTTCCCTCGGCGACCACGCTCTCTGCGCAACGCCAGTCACATAGTGGGAACACTGGCGATCGCGAGCTCGGGCGGATAAAACGGAAGGCGAAACTGAACGCACACACGCACACAACCACACACATACACTTGATTGGGGGGCCGGGGGCGCAGGCGGACTGCTCGCTTCAGGTGCGGCGTAAGGGGCGCACGCACGCACACACACACACACACACACGCGCACGCACGCACGCACGCACGCACGCACGCACGCACACACACATACAAAATTACACATACAAACACACACACGCACACACATAAAACATACTTGAATAGAAGATGGAGCGGAAAGCTGCGCAATGCACCCATCCTTCCGATCAATCCGGCAAGGCAGCCAAGCACATCGGAGCGACTCGCTGGCGGCCATGCCGCGACGGGACTGCCAGGGACTTCTGGGGCAACGAACACCACGCCGTACCTCGTCAGTCGGTCAACGCAAACGGGACTGCGGATCAACGCGATCGTGTTCAGCTGTGCCTGGCGATCCTGCCAGCTACGCATCCTGTTCCGCCCCCGCTCCAGGAACAAGGAAAAGCGACACCACCACCACCACCACCAGGGACCACCAGGGACCACCAGCGCGAGAGGCAAGTGGGGTCCCCCGGGTGGTAGGGTCCCGCTCTCTCGCTCGAGACATCCCCTGTCCCCAGCCTGGGAAAGGCATCGTGGACCTCCTCGCAAGAACTGGCCCCCCTGGCCCCTGATGGTGGTGTCGCTCCTCCTTCCGCCCCTTCTCCTCTCCCAGCTCTGTGCCAACGCACTCCTCCTAGACGTACCTCGATCATCGGCGGCTCCAGTCGCGTAGGCCAGATGTTGCAAGTCTTTCGTCACGTTCTGGAGCCAGGCGAAACAGAAAAACTGTGCAACCACACCTTGATCCGCCGACGTGCCTCTGGCACGAAAATGAGTGGCACCGAGGCTCCTGCAGCACCGAGAGGCAGACGCTGCTGCTGCTGCTGCTGCAGCCAGCATTGCAAATCTTGAAGTGCCCGCACTAATCGCTTCCCAGGCCGTCCTGGGTCGGGCGTTGGCAGAACTGGGTTTAGTGGAACCTGGTTTGGTGATCTGTACCGGGGGCGCCCCCCCGTCCCATTTCCACTAACCGGAACTGCCGTCACCCGAAAAAAACACCAACTATGGCAAACCTGGTTTAGTGATTCTGGCCCATTGAGGGGCCCCAGGGCCCCACCACTGACCGGGTCCCCTTACCCGGGGTCCTGGCTATACCCGACTGGGGCGTCCCAAGGTCTCCCAGGCTGCCTCCCGTGGGCTCCGGGGCGCTGCCTGCAAGTCCTCGGGACGCCGTGCCCTCCCACGGAGGTCCAAAAGAGAGCCCCGACCCGCCGAGACGCGGCTCAAAGACGTGGCCAATATAGCCTCGAGGTGGCCCTGGCCAGACACCTTCAGGACGGCCCCAGAGGCCTCCAACGGCACCCCCACGAGGGCCCCGAGAGACAGCCCTCGCTGATTTGCCGTTGGTTTTTGAAAGATGTAGGCGGCCTCACCTTTGCTGCTCTCTTTCCGACGCTCCAAGACGGCCCAAGAGGCCCGCGAGGCAATTCTAAAACGGCCAAAGAGGCCAAGCCGGCCCAGGAGGGCCCCAAGACGGCCCACGAAGCGCCCAAGACGGTCCAAGAGGACCCCAAGACGGCCCCAAGAGGGGCCCAAGAGAGGGAGCACGAACTGAAAAATCTAGCTTTCCGCCCCAAGAGGCCCCCAGGAGGCGCTAAAGAGGCCCAAAAAGAAGCCCCAAGAGGCACCAAACCAGCTCACAACCTAGGTACAGTGGCGGAATGGGCCCAATGCCATTAGATCCGTCGCCCCCTGTTGATTCATCACCGAAGTGCCCGGCGTGCTGAATCCTTTCGCTTTTGGTTTTGGTTCTTTTTTCAAAAGAACTCCCCCTGGGGTTTCGCCCCCGCCCGCCGGGGTTCCAGAATGGCCCAGAAAGCGTGGTTCCAAAAGTCGTCCTGCTCCAGATGGCTCCAAGATGGCTTCCAAGATGGCCACGATGGCCTCCAGGTTGTCCAAGACGGTCCAAGATGGCCTCCAAGACCGCCCAGGATACTCCAAGATGCCTCCCAAGTCGCACGATAAACATCTCACGGCCCAAGACGGCCCCAGAGGCCTCCAAGAGGCCTCCAAGACGGCCCAAGAGGCCTCCAAGAGGTCTTCCACGAGAGCCCGAAGAGGTCAAAATCAATGTTTTCCTTCGGTTTGTACAGGATGTTGGCCTTTTGTTCTTTTCGAGCTCCGACGGCTCACGACGGCCCAAGGAGCCCGAAAGATCGCCCCCAGAGCGCCCAAGAGGCCTCCAAGATGGCCCTATGACGGCCCAAGAGGCCCCCAGGACGGCCCCGAGGGGGCACCAAGACGGCTCCAGAGGCCTCCAGGACGCCCAAGACGGTCTCCAAGACGGCCAAGATGGCCTCCAAGATGCTTCCAACACTATCAAGATGAGCTTCAAGACGGCCAAGATGGGCTCTAAGACGGCCAAGATGGCCCAAGATGGGCCCGAGAGATTCCAAGATTGGCCCAGAGGAGTCCCAGAGGTGCTCCAGGAAGGCCCGAGGGAGCCAAACTCAAGGATTCGTGTTTTTCCTCGGTTTTGGCGTTCCGACCGCCTAAGACGGCCCAAGGAGTCCCCAAACTAGTCCCATAGGCCTCAGACGGCCCAAGCAAAGATACCTCAAGACTGCCAAGGTGACCTCCAAGACGACCAAGATGGCATCCAAGACGGCAGAAATATCCCCAAGAGAGCCGAAGGTGGCCCAAGAGGCGCCCAAGATGCCTCCAAGCAAGGCAGCCCAAGACGGCGAAGATGGCCCCAAGATGCACCCAAGACGGCCCCAGATGACCTGAAGATGACCTTAGACTGCCCAAAAGGCCCGCCAGAGGCCTCCAAGACGGCACAAGACCCCTCCAAGACGTCCTCCAAGAGGCCCGAAAGCTCGGAAACCACCTGGTCCGATAGCTCGCCCGACTCCGTGTTCCCCGAAGGCTTTCGAAACACACTTGGGGAACGCGTGGCCCGATAGCTCGGCCAAGCTCAAACCGAACTTTCGGCCACGCAGGCGCTTCCAAAAAGGCAGGGGGCGGCGGTGATTCGCCGTAGGCGTCTTGGATAAACCTCTACCATGAACAGGGGAACTAAAGTCCGCGCAGGTTTCTTGGATCGGCGCGGGACCCCCCTCCCTGGCGCGCGGAGCGCGCCAAGGGCTGCGCCGGATGCGCCGCCAGGGGGGCCCAGCGCCGATCCGAAAAATCCGCGCGGACCTCAGAGGAATTATGTTTATGCATGTATTGTCCTTCGAATGGAAGAATGAAAGAAACGGGTCCTGAGGGAAGCGGGTTCTGGACTTGGCTTTTCATGCTCCGTGACTGTCTGGCGGTCCCGGGGCCCCTGGGAGGGCCCCAGGAGCTCGAGAACAGGGAACCACTCCAGGACGCGTTCCCCCAATGATCCCCTTGAAGCGGGAAACCTCTGACAGGGCCTAATCAGAGCTGTTTTGTTTTGCAATTCATCCTGTTCAAACACGCAAAGCGAGCACGGGCACTGGTGGTCAGGACACAATGCGTGCAGGAGGCGAGCCGAATCCACCGACATGACCCGCGCATCGCTCAGCCCGATCCCGGCGGCGCGGGAAGGAGGGAGCGAGCAAGTCGTCTGCCCTGCCCAGCCAACGCCAACACAATAACAACGGATGAACGATGTAAAGAAGAAGATTAATAATACGGCAGATTCGTGTCGGAACGACTTCGGCATCAGTTCCTGTCACCGCGGGCATCGTTCAACCTTGAACGATCGGCCGTTTCCGAAACGTCAGATCATTCAACATCGACCGATTCTGAGTCGCCTTGTGGCGATCAACAATGAATGCGATCGGCGCGGTCGCCGCCAGTCGTGACACGACGCGAACCTAACGTACGGCCATGATTCATGATTACGTGCTGCCGTTTCCCCCTTTTCTCCCTCATCACAAACCAAGCTTGCATGGTAAGACAAGTTCTGTCAGGGCCTGGTTTTTTTAACAAATCAAAAACACAACTCAGGCAAGGGACCGTGGGTTGGTACGATGGGTGCAGAAAAGAGCCATACCCTGTCTAACACAGTGCGTACTGAACTTGTCACTGCCCGACAAACCAAAGCCGACGCATAACGCTGGAGATTTGTTATGAACGCACTGCGCGACTTTGCAGACATCGTTGCCAGGCCTGCGCATGCAATCGAGATGAAAGACGACGTCGGCGTGGAAAGCATGGTGCCCCTCGTCGTGCCGCAGCGGCGATGCCCCGGCGATGCGGCGCCATCCTCCGACCCCCCGTCCACGGGGACCCCAAGTCGGGAGGCCTGGGCTCCGCTCCCCTCCTCCGTCGGAGCGGGGCCGGTGGCGGGGCGCCTCCGCGGCCGCCAGTGGCCACCTCGCAGAGGCGGAACGGGGGGGGGGGGGGGCGGGGGCCGGGCGGGCGAGCTCCCCGGGGCGGGCGGACCCCTCAGGGGCAGGAAGGAGGGGGGAAGGAAGGGTCAGGGGGAGGGGGAGGAGCAGGAGAGGGGGAGGGACGGGCGGAGGAGGAGGCAGCGGAGGACTGGAGGAAGACGCTGGCGACGACGAGGGGGGCGCGGAAGGGGGAGCAGACGGGAGGGAGGAGGAAGAGCAAGCGGAGGGGAAGGAGGAGCAGGAGGAGGCGGAAGGGACGGAGGAGGGCGAGGAAGAGGAGAGGGGCAGAGACAGAGGAACGAGGGCAAGGAGGTGACAGTCGCTGCAGACGACGTTGACGAAGAGAAGAACAAGGACGACGACGACGACGACGACGACGACGACTGGGACGACGAGGCCAATGAAAGGGAGAGATCGAAGACTCCGCCCACATTTGACGTTGAGACCGACGGCGCGGGTGCCGACGACGCTCCACCCCGTGCACGGCGGCGCATCGGCGCTGCGACGAGGGAGCCTCCGCGCTCGGCGCCGCCGCGGCTCGCTGCAGCCCGCCGCGCCGCCACGCCCACGGAACCTCGCCGGCGATGCCCCGGGCTGTCGGCCTCGACCCTGCTCAGGCGCCCAGGGCCTCCGCCACGGTGGCCGTGTCCAGCACGTCGCTCAGGAGTCTGCCGCTGGGCAGCACGAAGTCTGCGGCCTGGCTGCAGGGCGGCAGGTCGCTCTGCAGGGCCAGAACGAGGGCGGAGGCGGAATCACGCGGCGCCAGAGACACGGAAACGACTTCTGAGCCACCCATGGTGGTTGCCTTCACCGTCGTCAGGGCTTCAGTGGAAGCGCATGCATGCAGGGACAGGATGACTTTCGCGTCACACATGCGGACCAAATCTTCCTCCTGGTCCCTCAGTGACGGACCAGCGTACCGAAAAGCGTCGCGGTGTTTTCTCATCGCGGCCAGAACCACATCATAGTCATCCCGCAATTCTGCCCCGACGCATCGCAAGATGAACGGATCACGCCGAACAGCCATGAGGACGATTTCTTTGTCAGACCTGATCTCAGCAGATGCTTGCAGCAACCAACTGCTGTTCTGGCTGATCAAGCGGACCATGAAATCGCGATCCTCTCGCAGATCTGTCGGGAACCACGAGCTGGAAAGGATCACCGACTCCTGCTCCAAGGCCGCAAGAGCCACGTTCTTGTCGGATCGCAAACTCGCCGGCCCAGCGTGCCAGGAGTGTGTCAGATCTGGGCCATCACGGGGACGAACAGAGCATGACGGTGGTGGACGGGAACGCCGAAGGGCCTCAAGACGGCGCAAGACGCCCAAGACGCGCCAAGGAGTAAGATTGGGCCTCTTGGAAACCTAAGGAGGCCTCCTAGACGCCCAAGACGCCTTCCAAGGTGGCTTCTCAGACGGCCCTGAAGCGCACCAAGAGGGCCCCGAGTCGGTTCATACAGGCCCCCAAGACAAATTCCGACGGCGTCAGACTGGCCAGGAACGCCATAAGACGGCTAAGGGCGCAAAAAACCAAAATGCCCCGAATAGGCCCAAAGGATGCACCCAGCAGGCCTCCAAGATGCCCCCAGGAAGCTTCCAGGGGGCCCAAGAGTGCCTGAAAGTCCTCCTCCTCCTCCTCCTTCTCCTCCTCCTTGTCCGATGGCTTGGCCAAGCTCGCGCCGAACGTTTGGCCACAAAGGCGATTCCCAACAAGGCAGGGGGCGGCGGTGATTCGCTGTAGGCGTCTTCGACACACGGAATCCTACAATGCTCAATGGGAGTCATCTTTACCACCACATCTCACCAATCTTCATGGAACACAGTATCGCCTCAACAACGACAACGGTGGTGACATGGACTATTGGACACCAACGCCTGCCGCGTACCCCCCCCCAGTTTGAAGGGACCCTGGGACACACAAATGAATCCACACAAATAAAAAGGATTCCCCATAGTTCCCCTATATTTGGGGGGGGGGGTCATCTTCCCCCCCCACTTCCAATATTTTCCTATATTTTCCTGGGAGTCGACGATTCATTGTGTCTGTGTTTTTTCCCCTCCTGCGCAATGCTGTGGTGCTCGCAGGGACGCCGCCCGCGGCCGCCCGTGTGGGGCCCCTCGGGCGCCGACGCGTCCTTTTACCGCAAGGTTGCCACACATACGCTGCACAAGACACAGGGCAGTTTGTTTTTTACATGGGATTTTCAAAAACGTATGATTTTTAATAAATGATTAATTTATGAATAAATGCATGCATGAACTCATCGTTGGTTTTTTATACTGAATCCCTGTATGTTTGATTCATGATCCGCACGCGGAACAGTTTTTTTATACGTAGTTTTCAAAAAATACGATTTTTAATACATGATTATTTTTATGTGTGAATGTATGCATGAATTCATCGTTGTTTTTAATACTGAATGCCTGCAATTTTTATACATGGTCCGCACGCGGAGCATGTATAAAAAACGGCACAGGTGTAGGCTGCAGCACGCAGATTGCACCACGCAGATCGCACAGCTTGAATGCACAGACTCACGGCTTGCGGTCCACGCCGGCAAATACATGCGCACTGCACTTCTTGCCTCAGGAGCATCTCCACTTCGGTGCGGTCATTGGTTTGATTCGCTTTGCTTTCAATTCATTGGTATTGATTGCACCACGTTGCGTTGCTTTAATGTGCGTTGCAACGTTTCAGGTTGCCTTGCATTGGTTTGAGAGAAAGACGGCATGGTACCTCATTGTTTCATAGTTCGCCAATCCCGAAGAGCTCCCAAGATAGCCCCAAGATGGCCCGAGGGGTTCCCCAAAGGCCTCTTGAGACGTGTTGGTGGGCGGCAGCGAACGCGAAGCCTCTTGAACAGCCAGCTGCCCAACGGAAGGGGTGCGTGTGGGGATCGCCCTTGTAGGCAGCCAGCGCAGCCAGCACAACCTCCCGATCACCCCTCAATAGCTCGGAGGCGTACTGCAAGGCCGCACCATGCTGCTTCACAGCCTTCAACACAACATCCCGGTTGCCACGGAGGGTCTCGGATGCAAACTGCAACCTGATGCCGCTCTGCGCGACCATGCCAATCATGAAGCCGGCGTCCGCTCGAAGCTCAAGCGAGGCATAACCCAAGCACCGAGCAGATCGCAGGACGGCCGCCTTCACAACCTCGACATCGGCCCTCGCAGCTTCAGGCAGCCGCTGGAAGAGGGCGTCTACGTCCCCAGGCAACGCCGTCTGCACTTGGTGCAGCCACAAGTCCTTCCCCGCCCTCCCGTGTGGCGGCGCCATCGCCCGAGCTGGCACAGCGTGTGGCTTCGTCGCCGCCCTGTCTGGCCGAAAGGCCGCGCTCGAATCGGCCGCTGCGGGCTCAGGGCCGGCAGCCTCTGGCTGGCCTGCTGGCGAGGGCGCGGGGCCTCTCGCGCTCTGCCAGGCGGCCCTGGCCTCGGAGTACGACACCCGGCCGCCACGGTTGGCGATAAACCTGTGGAGCTGATTCGCACTCTCGGGCACGCAGGCCTTCTCCGACAGGAAGACCTGCAGCCATGCCTCAGGCGACCGCTGCTTCCCAGGCTCCGTCGTGGCGAAGGCAAGGCTGGAAGCGGAGACTCGTCTTGACCAAAAGCCGCTCGAGAAAAAAAGGTGCTGCGGATGAGATGGGGAGGCACGGCCCTACGCATGACCTTGACGCAACACTACAACCTCCAGGAAAGACAAACAATGACATGCATTGGCAAGCCAGCATAGGAACAAGCAAAAGTCGACAAACCTAAGCTCGCAAAATGTGCATTACCGACCGGCGGACATAGGCATGCACCGCTAAGCAAAGTCACCCGGTGGCAGGCAATCGAGCAAAGGCAAAGGGCAGCAAGCAAGCTCAAGCAAGGACACTTACGAAACCGCACGCTATGACAAGCAACGGCCCGTACAAATGACGAAACAAATGCGATCAGCGCAAATGCAATCAAACGGAACCACTAGCATCCCCGGAAACAACGGCAATTGCAGACGAATACGCAAAGGCAGGCATTCACATGCAGGCCACACAAGACAAGCACGAAACGTCAACGGCCAGAACACAACGTTGAAGAAACCACTCAAGCAAATGCATGTAAGAAAAGGCAGATGCGCACACACGTATGGGCATGGGAGGGCACATGAACCCAACAGCCCTCTGAGCGCAGGTGGTTTAGAGCGACATGCTTTTCATGTCACCCCACAAAGAAACCATGCTGCAACATATTGTACCGTAGGTGGCTCCAAATCCCGCCCGCGGGCAACCAAACCGTCCGTTATCAGACCGGGTCTGCCATTGGCTTCGCCAGACCCTCCGCGGACGATCAAATCGATTGTTGGCCAAGTGGGTGTGCCATGGGTTGTGCCACACACCCCGCGGGTAATCCGCCGACCCCTTGGGGTCACGGCGTGTGAAATGCTTCCCCCTCCCCAAACCCCTTCCCCGGGGGCCTCAGACCAGGCCCTTGTCTGGCAGGTTTGGAAGGGGGGGGAAGGGGGAGGGGGGGGGGGGGGGCAAATCCATCATCCGCACACTTGCTCCAAAACGGGCAAAAAAGGTTCCAAAGGTTGCCGGAACGGTCCAAGAGAGCTATGAATCGACGAAAGATCGCCCCAAAAACGCCGAACATTGCCTCCACACGGATCCATAAGTCCCCAAGACGTTTGAAACGATATTACGAGGAGCCCCAAAGAGGCCCTCCAGAAGCACAAATCGTCCCATTACCCAGGGAAAACGTACATTTTCACCACGTTCGCCCATTCGGCTTCCACGCAGCGCGAAACGGCCCAAGAAACCTCCAAGATCGACCCTCGCCAGCCCAAGAGGCTCCCAAAAAGGCTCCAAGACGGCGTCGGGGCGATCCACGAAGGCCCCAGAAGCCATAGCAACGGCTTAGGAAAGCCGCAGGACGGTCCCAAGAGGGCTCCAAAACGGGGCAAGAGGGGCCCCCAAAGCTGTCCGGACGGCCCACGCGGGGGACGCTTCGGTCCAAACCGCCCGAGATCGCCGCCAGACGGCCACATGGGTGTCCAAGACGTTTGAAATCACAACCAAGAGGCGCTCCAAGAAGGCCTCCAGAAGAAAAAAATGTCCCATTCCCTAGGTAAAACGTACATGTTCAGCACATTCGCTTCTTGGGCTTTCACGAGGCCCACAGCGGCCCAATGAACCTCCAAGATCGACCCATGTCACCCGAAGAGGCTCCCAAGAAGGCTCCAAGACGGCTTCCGAGGGATCCACGAAGGCTCCAGAAACCATAGCAACGGCCCAAGAAAGCCGCAGGACGGTCCCCAGAGGGCTCCAAAACGAGCCAAGAGGACTCCCAAAGGCTGGACAGCCCACGCGGGGGACGATTCGGTCCAAGCCGCCCACGATTGCCTCCAGACAGCCCCATAGGCGTCCAAGACGTTTGCAAACGCGATCACGAGGCGCTCCAAGCAGGCCTCCAGAAGCAAAAACCGTCCAATCCCCTAATTAAGGAAAACGTGCATTTTCAGCATATTCGCTTCTTGGGCTTCCACGAGGCCCACAACGGCCCAGTAAACCTCCAAGATCGACCTCTGGCACCCCAAGAGACTCTCCAAAAGGCTCCAAGACGGCCTCCGGGCGCCCCAAGAAGGCCCCAGAAACCATAGCAACGGCCCGGGGGAACGGCAGAACGGTCCTAAGAGGGCCCCAAAACGTAACTAGAGGGGCCTCACAGGCTGTCTGGACAGGCCACGCGGGGGACGATTGCTGCCGCCCCAAGGGGTCGGCGGTGTAGCGTAAGCCAATGAATCAAATGGTCCGTTGCACCAGTGGGTGCCCACTGGGTGGGCAGTAGCCTCCGCAACAAGCTGCGCCACGCACAAGACTCCAGACGAGCCCGCGGGTCAGTCCCTATGCCCACGCCTCCTACTCCTCCTCTCGGAGCTAGAAGAGGTGAGACAACGGTAACACACAATCGGTTCCCTGTCTCCCCCAAGGGTTCAGGCGCACGAATTGTCCGAGATGCGTTTTGCCGTGGCGACAAGGACCCCCCCCGAAGGTCAACTACCGTTATCTTAACTCACTTCTGGTTATCCACAATCTCCCCCTCTCCCCTCCGCCTCCTCCTTCTCCTCCTCCTCCTCATCAGCATCATCATCATGACCATCACCATCACCATCAGCATCAGCATCAGCATCAACATCATCAGCATCATCAGCATCATCATCATCATCATCATCATCATCATCATCATCATCATCATCATCATCGCCGTCATCATCATCATCATCATCATCAGCAGCAGCAGCAGCATCAGCATCATCCTCGTCATCCTTCCTCCTCCTATTCCTCCTCCTCCTCCTCCTCCGTCCTCCTCCTCCCTCCTCCTCCTCCCTCCTCCTCCTCCTCCTCCTCCTCCTCCTCCTCCTCCTGCTCCTCCGTCCTCATCCTCCCTCCTCCTTCCTCCTCCTCCTGCTCCTTCTACCTATTCTCCGTCCTCCTCTTCCCCTCTTCCTCCTCCCTCTCCTCCTCCTCCCTCCTCTCTCCTCCTCTCGTCCTCCTCCTCCTCCTCCAGCTCCTCCTCCTCCTCCCTCCTCCCTCCTCCTGCCTCCTCCTCCTCTTCATCCTCCTCCTCCTCCTCACTCATCCCTCCTCCTCCTCCTCCTCCGCGTCCTCTTCCTCCTCCTCCTCCTCCTCCTCCACCTCCTCCTCCTCCCCCTCCAACTGCTCCTCTCCCTCCCCCGACTCCTCCTCCTACTTCTCCTCCTCCTCCTCCTCCTCATCCTCCTCCTGCTCCTTGTCCTGTTCCCCTGTTCCTGCTCCTGCTCCTGATCCTGTTATTCCTCCTCCTCCTCCTGCTCCTCCTCCTCTTCTTCCTCGTCCTCCTCCTGGTCTGGAGCACAAGTTGCTTCACCCCCCCCGGGCTGTCTCTACACGGTGGAGCTCTCGCGGACACCCGATCCGATCCGACCCGATCCTCTTCCTCCTCCTCTTCCTCCTCGTCATCCTGCTCGTCATCCTCCTCGTCCTCCTGCTCGTCGTCGTCGTCCTCCTCCTCCTCCTCCTTCGCCTCCTCCCCCTCCTCCTCCTCATCCTCCCCCTCCTCCTCCTCCTCCCCCTCCTCACCCTCCTCCTCCTCCTCCTCCTCCTCCTCCTCTTCTTCCTCCTCCTCTTCCCCCAACTCATCCTCACGGCTCATTCGTGCGCGACGCCCCGCTCGCGAGGCCACCCGGTATCGCCGTTCGGGCCGCGCGGATGTGCCAGCAATGCCAGCACCATCGCCGCCCGGGGCGGCCACGGCGTGGGCCTCAGCGAAGATGCCTCTCAACATCCCGCTCCTCCTCCTCCTCCTCCACCTCCTCCTCCTCCTCCTCTTCCTCCTCATACCGAGAGAGAAGAGAAGGAGGGGGATGAGGAGGAGGAAGGTGTTTTAAACATTTCGTCCCACACGCAGTGTTATCTGGCCGCGGGCCGCGGCCGCGGGGTGACGCGTGGTCCCTACTCCTGACCACCGCACCCTCTACCGAGCGCCAGGACCCTGCTCCTGTCCAGCGCCGCGGCAGCAATGCCAACGTCCCAACGGCGCAAGCCCTCTTGCCGCGCCGCTGGGGACCAAACCGCTCTGTGACCGCAAGCGGCCCCAGGAGCACACCCGTGACCACGAACGATTTCGAGACAATCCTGGTGCCGCGCGGACTCCGCTGCGGTCCAGATGCACCTTCTGCCGAGCGCCAGGACCCTGCTCCTGTCCAGCGCTGCGTCAGCAGTGCTGGCACCCCAGCGTCGCAGGCCCTCTTGCACAAGCGGCCCAAAGAACATGAAGGGGCCCTGGGACATACAAATAAATACACACAACTAACCGGATTCCCCATCTGTTCCTATATTTTCTGGGTTTTCGTCTTCCCCCCCCCAATTCCCATATTTTCATATATTTTCTTGGGAGGTCGACGATTCATTGTGTCTGTGTGATTTTCTCCCTCCTGAACATGTTCGGGTCGAGCTATGGTGCCGCGCGGACCCTGCTCCCGTCCAAGCGCGCCTCCTGCCAGGCGCCTGAGCCCTGCTCCTGTCCCTCGCTGTGGCAGCATGCTGACACCGTTGATCACATGGACGGCCACGAACATGTATACGAGCTGTTACCTGAAGGCTTTTAGTTCGTGCTGCATTCCTGTCGTAGCATTTTTTCCTCGCGTGGCTCCTTCAAAACCATCGCTCATCCTGCGCTTGGCGTTGCCGTCGGGTGCCGGCCTCGCTATGCTCGCCGCGCAATTCCAACCGAGCCAATTCTTTACCCTGGTGGCGTCCGCATGTCATGTGCGTGATGCGTGGCCAGGCCCCCCGCCAGAACTTGATTCCAGCCATGTCGAATTTCCAGCGTTTCTGCCGCGCGCTTCATGTTTAGCCATTGTTTCAGCACTCCTTGGCCGAGCCCATAATCAACAGAGGATTCCACGCACGCTTTGCGACTCCCCCTCCCTTGATTGTGTCTGAGGGCGTGGAGGGGCTGCTGGACCGACTGCTCGATGATCTGGGCAGTATTAATCCTTTCCTGCCCTTGCGCTTTCTTGGCTCGGCTGAGCTCCTTGTCCTCCGTAGTCATTGGCGGGTCGCGCGCAATCGCCCGCATGGTAACATCACGCATTCGACGTGTGGACAGCACCCCGGCCGCATTGACCCAGTCAAAACAGTCCTGCTGCGCCTTCGCTATGTTGCGTTCGCTTGCCGCGTCGCCTGCCGCTTGGTCCGCTACTTCGTTTCAGTGCCATGCGGTTTCTGGATTTGTTTTGGCGGCGCTTCATTATTTCCCAAGTGGCTCTCTGTGCGCGTGGCTACGATGCGTGCTTCTCCGCGGTCTTGCAGCGCCTTGCCCAGCTCGTGCCACAGGTTGTTGCTGCCACCCAAGAACGCGTTGTTTAGGCAACTCCTCTTCTGCCATGCGTTGCACTAGATATCTGAGAAGACGCAGAAAACCACGTCGCCCTCGGCGCGCCACGACGCGTCCAACATGGCATGCATCCCCGCTCTGTTGTTCGACTGTCTGTGTCCGGGTAAGGGCCCACTTCTACTCGTCGCGACAGCCGCCGCTGAGGAGGCTCTTGCTGTCCAAGCCCATGTACATGTGCGGTTTCTGGGGTCGCCGGCCTGGTCGTTTCCGCTTCCGTCTCCACACACGCAGATGGACCCCTCGCCTTTGCCGGCGGCCGACGTCTGGCTCTCCTGCCGCGACGCCGGGGACGTGATAGGGCCCTCTGCGTCGCAGCCTGTGGGCGTCGTCCAACTTCGTGGCGGGATGCCACTCGGCCAGAACGCTGGCACCCACCTTGGCCTGCTCTGCCAAGTCCCCCGGATCGTCGTGGTCCTCGCGCTCCTCTTCGCGCGGGCACTGTCCGCAAATTCTGTGACAACCCGTTTCGGGCTTCCCGCGACGGCCACGTCCGTCACCACCGCGCACTGCCGCATTCTTCTCTCCAGGCCCAAGGCCATCACGGGCAGCGACGAGCATCGCCCCGAACTCCTGGTGTCGCCCCTTCTCCTGGAGACCTGCGATCTGCTTCCTGGCGCCTGTCAAGTCAGCGCCCTGCCCCAAGCCCTGTCCATGCCCGATGCTGTGCCGCCGTAGCCAAGACGTGCCTCTCCACGTGTCCCCTCTTTGAGTTCGCAAGGCTGGGTCTTCCCCGTCAGCCCGGCCATGACTGCCGCAGTGCCTTGCCGCATTCCTGTCGCGCGGCCTTCAATGATAAAGGGGAAGAGCCAAAAGCACGGCAACCAAATAAGAACGACACCATCGCCCCTTGCTCCAGCACCCGCATGATCGGTTTCGAGCCCAGCCCCCTCAGCGTCTTGCCCACCAAGTAGAACCGCCCCGCGCCTTGGTGACTCTAACTCTATGCGTACTTCCGCGTGTCGTCATCATGGCCGCTCTGATCAGACCCAAATCTCGTCCTCCCGTGGCCGCTTTCACTTTGATCTTCCATTTTGCCAGCTGCTCTACGATGTTCGCCGCGCTCTTGCCTGTGGTCCCGAACACAGCCCAACTTGCCCGTTGTGCAGAGAACTGGTGAGCTCCGCTATGTAATTTTCAACTGTGGCTGGTGTTCCCGTCGCTCCCAAACTGATGCCATCAAACCATAGCCCTGGCGTTGCGATGGGTGTTTCATGAGATACCTATCGATGGTGACGTAGACCGGCACCCTCGCCAAACTGTGTCTGTGCCGTGAACCTGCTCTGAATGATTCCTCCGCCATCATGAACTCTTCCTGAGGAGCCGTGTGGTCATGTGCTGCAGCATCGACATGGCGAGAAATCCTCGGCGGGAACTTGTGGTCCTGCGCTGCCCTAGCCACGCAGTCGAACTCCATATTGTCGTAACATCGCTCTATATCTATCAAGTCTCACGCTGTTGACGCTCCGGCTGCCGCTGCTATCTCGTCCCCGATTGACCTCAACGTGGCTTCTCACAAGCAGCTCTGCCCAAGGGCTCGATTATGCCAAAGCATCTTGGTCTCACGTAACCGACCGCTCACTTGTTCACGATTGAATACTTCCCATCACCTGCCAAACCACCTCAATAAAGCCAGCGCTCCGTCGCCACTAGTGCTCATTGAGTGCGATCCAGGCTGGCTTTCACGGTTCGTTTCCAACATGGTTGTAGCCTCCAATGCTTGCCACGGCCATGCTGCTGCCCGCTCGCATTCGTTGCGCAAGTCCGCGAACGTCTGCCTGCCTTTCGCAGGCAATGGTTTCAGGTCCATCATGCATACCTGGTCGTCGCCTTTGCCTTTATCTGGTGCTCTTCGTGTTGCAGAGTCATCTGGTCAAGCGTCCAGCACGATACTGTCTCGGCCTCGGCTGGTGTCCTCAAGGGAACGCAAAATCTGAACTTCCTTGTCGTCGCGCCGGGACACGGATACCTCCACATGTTTTCGTGTTGGCGTCGGTCCTTTCAACTGACGAAGGCCTCTTTCGGATCCTTCGTGATTCGGTGCATTACTCCTGGGCTTTTCTACGCCGTGTCCGCCAGCCATGTGAAATATGAATTTCTTCCTGTTGCCCGATCTTCTTGGAGTGCCGGTGCCGCCTGCTTTCCAGTCCAGCTGGTCTACATGTAGCAGCTTGTGCTTCCATATCTTCCAGGAGGAGGAGATGAGGAAAAGAGGAGTAGGAGGAGGAAGACGATGAACGCCACAAGCGCAGCCCTCAGAGCCCGCCTGGCGCAACAAAGACGACGAATCGAAGGAGGAGGAGGAGGAAGAGGAGGAGGAGGAGGAGGAGGAGGAGGAGGAGGAGGACGGAGCAAGACCGAAGAGAGGGGGTGTTGTTCCCTCGCCAGCCTCGAACATTCTCTTGGGCGGGCTTCCCCCTGGCGGGCCTCCAGCGGGGCCCGGAGACTTTGGGGACGTGCGGAGGGCGGGGCACAGTCGAGCTGCTGCAATGTGGGGCGCTGGCCATCGCTCGGACGTCCATTCCCTGTGCTTTGTTCGGTTTCGTGCGTGGTTTTTGTCGCCAGATGATCGAGGATGCTCCTCAAAGGTCCTCGCCGAAGGAAAATGCACACGTCCGAGCGATGCCAGGCCATTTTCGGCACCAGACGAGCCTGGGTGAACGAGGAGGGCCAGAAGAGCCATCACTGGATGACCTCAGGAACGGCGAGCCTGTTCTGGACCCACAGTGGTCCTCACTTCAGAGTCTTGACAGCCTGGGTGGAGGGCAGATCTTTCCGCCAGCTGCTCCTGCTCCGTCGCCACGGCGCGACGTGGCTCGAAGAACTGGCCCGGATGATTCCGAGAGGAGCCTTTTGGTCAGAGGATGCCAGCAATACGCAAGTGTCGATCCTGGCCAGGGCCAGTCCCAGGGCACGAGAGGTGAGCATATCCATATCCTCGCCCTCGCGGTCTGGATCCTGGGGCGCGATCCCTTGGAAACGCGGCCGCATGGATACATCTCGCGCGGGGCATCCGCGAAAGAACGCCCCGTATCCATGGGGTCGCAACCCAGGGATTTGGCCCACGAGACCGAGGATATGGATATGGGGCCTTGTCTATTTGGACAATGGGCATTGCTGGATGGACCAGCATCGAAATCAAATGGCAAGATTTGCTGTCCGATGGGCCCCGAAAGCCCTCAGATCTTGCTCCACAGGTGCAGGTGCTGCTGTTGGGCATCTTGCTCACAGCTTCCATCCACATTCTGGGGGTGAAGAGCATCCCGGATCGTCTTCGACGGTCCTCGGGCCCAGCGAGGGCCCGAGGATGCCGAGAGTAGGCAGCCCAAGCCTTCCG